TTCGCGTTTGAAATAAAAATCGATCAAACGAAACAGCTCGACCGCTTTTAAAATGTTTAATGTTAAAATAAATACCTAATAGGTGCTTCGAGTATTTGAATTGTAGTTAGCGTGTATATTAATAAATTCAGTGTACAAGTAAAACAGTATATAATTGTCAATTTATATTTAGTGTATTTCTCGCCGATGTCGAATCAATTTACGAGCTGCAGTACCTTTGGGTACGAGTATATTTTATAGTAATACAAATAATTAGATAATTTACGATATGTAATCGTAATTGACAATTAATAACGAAGTTGTGACTGCGCGTTAAATCTGTTTATAATAATGAATATTAGTCGCGGCATTTCACCGTACAATTGTGTATTTACGAATCAATTATCGGACCCCGCGTCAGAGTTTTTCTCCGCAATCACCTGCCGACGACGCACGCGCGATATGTTTGTAAACAGTGTTCGGGTGTTGTTCGGTTTACTAGCAGTAAATCTCGGACGAGAATATTGCGTAAAATTCAAATGAAAAACAAGTTCGGGCGAATTCGAGAGTTTACGATGCGGTTTCTATTGTTATTTCGTTTTGCGCGCGGGCCGCGTGCGGTAGAAAAATAAAAAAAAATAATAATAATAATAAAATGTTTAAAATCAAATACTACGGATTATTACGCCCGTAAAGGTAAAATATTACGATTGTATTTTTCGATGAAAACGCGCGCGGCCCGAGCGTTTAAGAACTCGCGAATTATTTGTTTCGCACTATTAATATTATTAATCGCCGCGCGTTAATATTGTAATATTGTTGTAGTATGGTATGGTATGGTATTTATTTTATTTTTTTTTATTTTTTTTTTTTTTTCTAATAAATAAATTCGGTAAACTTCGCGCGTAAGTACGTAATAAATATGGGTTATCGAAACTCGCTAAATTACGTAACGTAATAATAATAATAATAACATTTGCGATGTTGGAAAGATTAATTATTATTGCGTTAGGTACGCGCTCGCGTGTGTACGCACTGTACGAGTAGTGTACACGAATACAATAATATTATTGCGCGTCGGAATAAAATGTTGAAAAACTACGCTTTCGGATTGTAAGCGATGCTGTATTGGTTTTACTACGACGCGCGTTTTGTTTTTTTTTTTTTTTTTTTTTTTTTTTTTTTCCGTCCGGGTGCACCGCATGTTAGATATATTGTTATGGTTTCCGAGTGAAGGTTCTTTTCCGAAAGCCAATTGTAGGTGTCCGGCCGGTTCACGGGGCGGGCGGTGTTTTTGATTTTCGACAATATAATTTGGGAAAAAACGTACGATGAAACTGGACAGTTAATATACGGCCATGGCCGGGCCGAGCGTTCAAACGCGTCTGAGCGCACTTTAGTTTTTCCGCCCCTTTTATGTGTGAAAACCACGTCGAAAATGTTTAACGCCTCCACTGAAAAATTCCGTCCTAGGCGTCGGCCTGTGTCGCCTACCCCTTGAGCCGGGCCCGTACACGGCCAACAACGATTTCGTTTTATTCTTCCGATCTTGTTCCGATCGTCATACTTCAGGGATGATCCTTTGTAGAGTTTTTAATCGATATAGTTGGTGTATTAATATAAATGAGAAATATCCGGAAGAAAAACCGTCGGAAAAACTTTATGTCAAAACCGAATTATTCAAACCCAATAAATAATACTCGACAATTTGACACGGGGTTCGTTTTATGTTGCCATTAGTAGTAAACAAAATTGTACAGCCAGTATGAGTTCAAATTTGGACGAAAAGTTTACGCTTTTCGTCCAAATCACGGCATTTCTAAACGTGATGTTCAACCGGACTTCGTTACGAATCGTTTTTTTTTATCAGCAATGATTTATCGTTGAATTGTTACATAAAGCTATGAATTACTCTTTAAATTCTACCTACCTTCCCCACGTCCAAACTACAGCAGTGTCACACCCGTAAGCAGCGTTCTCTAAAATGTAATTATTTACATTTCATATTCACATTTTTTTTTTTCACATTGTATCGTCATATTATACAGAATTGAGGCTGCTTAACTCGATTTAACTGAATTTAACTAAACTCGACCGGATAATGGGCCGCGTTCCTAAATTCATGTTACTAAATTTAACGCGGACACACTATACAGACGTGAACTAAAACTTGATAAAATCATTGAAAACAAAAAACATCAACGGGCCACCGATTGCTTTACTTGCCTCTCGTCTAGTCCTCATTGAAATCGAAATGATAAGAGTTCAGCGAATACTCGATCTGCGCCAGGAGCGGCTGCTGTGGCTAACCTTCGACGCGATCCGATGACAATTTAATTATAACATTATAGTAAATATAATAATATTATATCATTTTACAGTTAAATTCCTTTCTTTATTTTTTTTTTTTTTTTTTTGAAAATACATAAGAATGTACATATCCGTACGCATTTCTGAGAGAGATTTTCGAAATCAAACTCTTAAAGGATGGTTCACACAAGGTTTAAGGTGTTTTTAGAACAAAAATTAAATTTTTTTTTTTCTTTTTCATTTTTTAGTAATTTTAATGGCACGAGAAAACAATTATTATTAATTGATTTGATTGTCACGAGCAAAGAAATACCTTTTTTTTTTTTTATAAACCAAACAACAATAGTTAACTACAGTGATAAGGACATGAATGAAAACGACGATCACGGGGAAACACTATTTGTTTTAATTTTTATTTAACACTGCGCCTGATCGGGAAAACTAATATGAAATGATGTTAAGTATAAATCATTTGTAAAAAAAATATTAATACTTTTTCGTTGAATCGCGACCTTTCTTTTAAAAACATCTATACATATATGGAATATAATACAATATCATACTCAATCGATAAATCGATGGAGAAACCTATAATATTACAAGATAAAAAGAAAAATCGTAAACCATCTAAATAATGAATACAATTTTAAATAACCGGCCGCCCCTTGAATTCAGGAAAAATAAGTGGCCTTTATATGTCATTCCTAGTCTGCAACTATATCTATGGAAGACCCTAGAGAACTGGACACGTCAAGTAGAGGTGTGTTAATGATATCGTAGCCGCCAGGTTTTCAAAATGGCCTTTGGAAGCTATTACTTATCGCTTTTGAGCGCTATACTTGTTAACCTTCCGAGTAATTTAAACCCAAACCCGGCAAATAAAACGTTATCTTATTTATTTATTAACGGAATACCATAAATATTTCATAGTGTAAAATTACGAATACGGTCGAATCGTTACACGAATGAATTTCCAGCGTTGCCGGTTGTATATCAATTGGTAGGTTTTTTTTTTTTTTTTTTTAATTTATCTGTGCGCAGCAATAAAATGAATTTAAATTGTTCAGTAAATTGAATAATCCGTTGATCCGCAAATTAGTCGTTATAATCCGAGTCCATTGTTATCGTATATAATGCGGACCGTATTACGGATTTTGGGCGGGACCCGTTTCGCCTTAACTCGACCTTTCCCGTTTCGCCCAAACTAGGCATTTTAAAATTAACTTGGCAATGTTTTTTAATCATATTATTTACAAATGTATTACAAATTGTTAATTTATTAAAATTCGACACAGTACTTATAGGTAATAGTACATATTGTTACCTAAGTATATACGTGTATAAATACATTTTAAAAATTATACATTATTAATTATGCTATAAATTATTATTTTTTTAAATTTCTACGCGTGATTTTTATGAACTCGTGCTTAGTAATTTCACCTAACCCATGCAAAAGTATACGTTGTACATTATAACATTGTCTTTCCTTCGGTTGTTTGTTTGGAAATTTCAACGCTATTAATTTTGATAAAAATTTCAGTCTGTAAATCACTGTGCATAATATTTAACCAACTTATTATTGACGGAGAACCAGACACTGCTACGACGACAAGCATATAATAAATATCGTGTGTTTTTCTTCCTTGCGGTTATTTAAAAACCGTGTAGTATAAACCAATAAGTAAGTGAATGTATAATATACTATTATACTATAGTAAATTTGTAAATAACTTGATTAAAAACCATGGCCAACTTAATTTTAAAATGCCTAAAATATGTTTGGGGAAAATGGTTATTTGGGCGAAACGGGTACATTTGGTTTTGTCTTTTTTTGTTTTGTTTTATTTTTTTTTCTTAATCCGGGTCTATTCGGATTTCGAGTATCGAACCGGTTTGGACGAAACTAAGTCGCTCGACGCTATACAGTCGAGAGTCAGTAATATCGGTAGCGTTGAAAATCGATAACATAATAACCGACTAGCTACGATACTATCGGTCGCGTATTGTCGCGTATACGTGCGTATAATGATAAAACGATGGTTAAACAAATAACTCCTTACGCGAAAATGTTTAGAATCGCTAGATTGCCTGTTCCGTTATCTGTTAGAGCGAATGGATCGAATCGTTTTTTTTTTCCCCCGCATTAAATGAAGACCCAGTTCAGTGGATATCAAAATGTATATTTATATTTTAACTTAATTTTTTTTCTCTCAGTCATTCATCAACATCGCGTTAAAAACAAACACGCTTTTAGACTTTTAAAGGGAACAGACAAAACGTCATTTTCCGGGTGTTTCGTCGGGGTGCGTTACGTCCCCGGGCCTAACGACAATATTGATAACATTATAATGGCGGCGATGAAAACGAACGGCCGGTTCGCGGTCCGCGGATCGGTCGCTATCCCGGGCCGTCGCCGTTTTCCCGCTCGGCCCGGATCCGTCCGGATTTCGGACGCGGAACCGGTTCGGGGCGCCCGGGGATATTCGGATGCGGCTCCGCGAAACGGCGGGGCAACGGCGAACGCCGGCGTCGTTCGATGGAACAAAAATTTTACGTCGGCGGCGGCGGCGACGACGACGACGACGAACGGCCCCGACGACGACGCGCAATATTCGCGCGCGAAACGAAAATTCGCGCGCGCGTTACGTAAAAGTAGTAGGAGTCGGAGCGCGCGTTCCGGCGGCGGCGGCGGCGGCGGCCGGTGTTCGGGCACGCGACATTCGCCGTCGCGCAGTCAGCATCTCATCGAAGACACGACTGTGCAACGCGCGCGCAACACTCTCCTGTACGTTATCGGTAACGATTGTAAACACGACAATAATAATAGTGACAACGACGACGATAATAATAACACTGTACGCCGCGTCTCTCTGTCCGCGTGCGTCCCGTTTCGGCCGCGAGTGTTTTTTTTTTTCTTTTTTTTTTTCATATTCTTCAAATAATAAATTGTAATTCGCGAGACGGCTCTGCTGCTCTCGGCGTGCTCGTACTCAACACAGTCGTGTACGCGTACAACGCTGCGCGTATTATTATTGTTGTTGTCCGCTTTTACTCGGCCAGTACGTTTTATACGGGCGCGCCGGCCGCAGTCGTCGTCAACGCAAAGCCGCGTCCGCATCGCGTCCCGTCCCGATCTGTTCTCCCTCGACGCCCGGCCGCGTTCGGTATTTCCGCGCGTTCCGACGCGCGCGCCCCTGACCACCGCCGCCGACCCGAGTGCGGCGCGCGACCGGACGCCCCGAACCACCCCGAACGCAAGTCGCCGATGATACCTGTTGCCGCGCGCCGGGTACCTCGGAACTCCGAAGGGTCATGAAAAATTCGTTCAAGTCGTTATGGAACACCTGGCAATGGGGATGCGGCAGAACCGTGAGTGTTTTTTTTTTTATTTTTATTTTTTTTTTTTTCTACTTCTTCATCTTTCTCGCACCTCTCGTGCGCGTTGTACGCGTTCTTTTTCCGCCCGATCCCTCCCCTACGCCCCACCCCACCCGCGAAAACCGACCGGATCACACGGTACGTTTCGCGCTCCGACCGCACTTGTCCCCGGTTCGGGAAAGTTCCGTTCGCGTTTGATTGCCCGGTTTATCGCGTACGATGGACACTCGCGTTATTCGCGGCTGCGCGAGTGTGCGTCGTGTTGGCCGCGACCGGACCCCGGGTCCCGGACCCCGGCGTTCTCAACGCGGCCGGTACACAATTCGGGTGCCCGTGAATTTCGGATGCTGTAAACTGACTTTACAATACCAGATTTATTTGTGTTTTATTTGTCCGACTTATTAACTATAATACGGCACTATTAACGCGGGACCCGGCTAGAGTAGATTTTTGAACGCGGGACACGACTTGGACGCGTCGGTCGCGTTCAAGGAGGTTTTCGGTATTTTTGGAAATTTACGTTTTTTTCCCCGTTCGATACAGCGTTGTACGATAATACACGATATCGCGGCCGGCAAAATCGGCATCCCCGGTCCGTTTGCGGAGTGCGTGCAACAGAAACAGACAAACGGACATTATTCGCACGACGGATGGGCCCCACTTTTGTGCGCGAGAAGTCAGGAAGGTAGAGAGGAAATTTAATGTGCATACGTACGCAACGGCTAATCGTCGCTAACGAAAAACGATTCTGAGCGGGGTGAGTTACGCGCGTTATTTTCCCCGTTTATTATCAAAACTGCTGGGAAAATCGCAGAATGACTCGAAAGTAACGCTCCAGTCAGATTTGCTTCTAGCAAAAATGCCACGCTTGAAAATCGATCAGAAATTAATGAAAATAAATAATAAACATTGTTTTTAAGTTTGCCGAGCACGTTATCTGTTGAAATTCTTAACTTTACCCGAGTAACGTAAAATCGGACGATTTAAGACGAACACTTGGAAAATCGTGATTTCACGGACCGTTGCAACTATGCATATTAAAAATGTTGTTTAGTTTACCGCGAAAAAGTCAAAATTCCACTCGGGAAGTATTTTGCGCGATTCAATCCGTATACAATACGATTGCACGTGTATTTGTCTCCGACAAAACTGTTGGAGACATCGCGAATTATCACGTGCATTGCCGACAAACGATACGAATAACGGGCCAATAACAATAACATGTACCTACGTACAGATCGAAACCGTCGTTATCAAAACGAATAACGTTAATTGTGATAGGGAAAAACTGCCGATGAATTATTACACTCACGTTGAAAACTCGTAATAATAATAATAATAATAATACGAATATTATTTTAACAATATTGCGCTTATAATAAGTACCGACACACACCTATATGCGTCTTATCGGATACCTGTAATTTATCGAGCTAATAATACAAGTAAAAAAAAACAAAAAACAAAACAAAAAACAAACGATTAAAATAAATTTCGCGTGTATATTACGCGCATATAGATTTTCATACATAATCAATAACTATAATTATTAGATATATTATAAAGGTAGATTCCTATATACGCTGTACCCGTTATAATCAGAAAACTCTTATCGCGGGCGTAGGTCTCGCAATTTTAATAAGTATACCGGTAGTTTTCAATAAAAAAGTATGTATACGTTATATTACAAAACGCCAGGGTATTTTTGTTATTTTTCTGTAGTCTGTATATATATATACAATATACAATATAATGAACAAACGCAACGCTGCAAACAAATCGTTTGCCCATACACGAAGAATGTTAAAAATTTCTCGGGGTTAGGTACCAACAATAAAAAGCAAAAATACATGAAAAATTTTATCGTTTTTCATATAAAAAAAAAAAAAAAAAACACAATAACGTTATAAATGGGTAATTCGCATTAATTATACTTCGGACTTGAGTTCGTATTTTTAATCAAACAATCGGTACAATCTATGAAATACATGAAACGAGTTTGATTTTTTTCTAGAAAGTATATTATTATTATATGCAAGCAAATCGTCGTTTTTTTTTTTAGAGAAAATTATCAATCAAATAGTTTCCCGATTTTCTAATTTACTTGGACCGGTGGCGTGCGTACGGGTACCTGAGAGTGTTTCCGGATAAATCCCTAAAGAGACAAAAAAAAAAAAATCGTACACTAATAATTAATGAAAATTATTATAATCTTTGATGAAACGTTGAAATAATAATACTAAGAAGGTAGTATATTTCTCGTGTATGAATCTATGATCGAATTGTTGGATTTGATATTCGATCACGGGTATTAAAATGGTAACGGTATAACGGAAACGATTATAAATGTACGATTATATAGGCTATTATTAAGGTACTGTAGTTTTTTAGATACGATTGTAAAAAAAATATGACATATTGTCAATATTGGCGGGAATAAAATCAGTCCAGACACGTTATTTAGCTAATTTTTGCGGGCATTTTAATTTTAAATAACACGATAAGTATATTTCGCACTAAGCAATCACAATATCATACCATTTTTATAGGGAAAAACATGAATATTTGCAGAGACGTATTTGCATTTTTAGCGCCCTTTCACAAGATCACTTCACATTTTGTTCTATACACTTTGCGCTGCAAAACACATTATTTGTTGGCCCTGCTGAATGAGTGTAAACTGTGGGATGAGGTCGATTTTCGGTGATGGCGGTTTAAATCCGTCCCAATAAGAAAATCGAATGTACGCCACCGACCCAAACGTAGTCGATGTGTAGAGAAGAAAAGTTAAACGCATATAATAATAATCTTTGCGCAAGTTCGTATACTGCAACCAAAAAAACGTATCTGTATCGAGTGTCGGTATCTGAAATACTCTCATACGATAAAAACTTTATCAGTAAATTATAGTCACATTTATGCATCGAATGAACACTGAACTTAAAATTTATAATGTATAGATTAAAAGACGTATATCAGTAATGTTTAACGATTTAATGATTTGTCTACTTTGTAAAATCAATATTGTTTATCATTTCCCGCAATTGACATGTATAATATAAGTGAAATTATTTTAATCCGGAAAACAGAATCATAAAAACAAAAGAAAATAATCGAGAAGATCAATGGAAACACTCGTGTAACGCGTGCCAGATAGAACTGAACGCAAATAGTAATGCCTTTATTTTCTTTTTATTAAAAATTCGATTTTTGTACGTCAAAAATTCTGAAATATAATCAAGAACCCATACTCGTACATAACCTAATCCGACAATATCTGAAATCTAAAGGATTAAAATTTGCCTCGGAGTCGACCCGTCAATATGCTTTAGTATTTCGGATTTACAGACAAACAAACAAATCAGTAGGCACGAAAACAAATAATAGACATCCACTCATAATTGACAAATTAACGACTTTCTATATGTTATACGATAATTTTTTTGTTTGAATGTCAATGTAAAATTGTATTATTTATGCACATAAAAATGATGTAACACAATTATTATTGTATGAGTAACGATTTAATGATTAGCAAACAATGTTAGGAATTACGTTTATTTTCCAAAATAAGTTATCATTTTCAACAGGTGTATCCACAACGTTCTAATATTATTAATTATAGTTACAAGACGTGATATATTTTCAGCAGTCAACGCCTATTTTTATACAATATGCCTCTAATGGTTAACGGCCGAATTTGTTTCTGAAAGAAGTATACTAAAATCGGTACATTTGGCAAAAAAAAAAAAAAAAGTGAAAGCCAAAAGAAAAAGAAGAGTTTTTTTTTTCCGTAGACAAATTATAATAACTTCGTATTTTTGCCGTAATTATTTCGAGAAATTCTTTTTATTTCCTATTCTTCGCAATATAATACGTCAGACGTGGTAATATATATATATAAAAAAACAAAGAAAGAAAATCGGTGTCACCCAGTTTCTCAAATATATTACCTATAAGTTTGAAACGTCCACCGTAACTGTTTGTTTATTTCAAGTGTTTTTGTGCTTGTTTTTCACTTGGCGCGACAATACCCGGAATCGCTAAAACTTACGAGCGTACCGTGCTTAATGACTATGATTACTCACCGAAAAACTCAAACATACCGTATTTACGCGCCGGTCGATGGATTTGATGTACCATTTTATCGTACGTACACGCGCACGTTGTACGTAAATACCACGGGTGAGTATATTCGTACAACAGACATTCGCGCAGATTGCTTTTCTAACGGGACGACGCGCAAGCGAGTGCCCGTATTGTATTATGCAGACAACGAAACGAAACGGCGCGTTATATGTTTGACATTCCGACAGCAATAGGCAATAACTACAACACCGCTTGATAGGTTACCGGTGATCGGTTTATAGACCGTACAATGTACGTAATTATCGTACGTCGTCAAACGGATGCACATTATGTACATCACACGATGTATTATCATGTTTTCAGAATATTTTCAATCCGTCGTGTAATCGGGTTTTGAACTCGCCGGTCCGATCAACAAAAACTGTAATTTGTTTTTTTTTTTTTTTTTTGGTACATTAATCAAAAAAAAAGTTGCATACATGCCTGTTGTACCCGAGTGCGTTGGTCCAAAAACCAAATTTCACAATTAAAATCCTCGTTTTTTTCATATTATTCACGGTTAATCGCAGTTTATTGTGCTTAGAAAAATATTCGATCAATATCATTTTCGTTTTTTCAATAAAATGGTTCGGTCAGGTATCGGTTCTGAGCAAAGCGAGTGAACTCGCCGGTCCGATCAACAAAAACTGTAATTTGTTTTTTTTTTTTTTTTTTTTTTTTTTTTTTTTGTCAACAACAAAACTCTTGTTCCAATTTCGATTCGGATTTTACTATCATGGAACTTGCTATTTATAATATAGTTGATTACGTCGTGGTTGATTTTTGTTCACTTCCGGGTTACCTCGATAACAAAGTGAAAAAAAAATATAACTCTACCCAGAATCGTTTTTCGTTAGCGATTATCATTGGCATAAATACAAATATAAATTAAACGACACAATACGCACAAGTGGCCAAGGTATATTATCCTCCATCCGTTCCGACTTCCCTCCTAAAAAAAAAAATGGCACGCCCGTCTCGGAATTTCATGTCTGAAATTGAACGAAAATCTGTTTTCGAAAAAAACTAGACGGAAATATCGTAATGTCGCAGTAACGGCATTGACCTTATCACCAGCACATACGCGCGTACGCGATTGCGTAAAATAAACATTATTAAAACATTATAATAGTATACAAGTAATATAATTATATTTTTTTTATAAGCGCGTATTGTGTTTTTATGTCCCTCTCACATCTTCTGTATTAATAAATAGGAGGTAGTGTACTTGGCACCGAAAATTTCCACTTGGAATCGCTGTTTAAATTTTCTCCGACAACTCGAAGTGAAGATTGCTGAAATGTTTTTTTTTTTTTTTTTTTTGTGAACTTTATGGTGCCAGTTTCACGTACCCGAAGTGTTTGTTTCGGTAATTGCGCTTTTTTCGCCTGAATCGAACGCGCTCGGGCCGAATAAAATTTCAAAACGTTCACCTTTTTCCTTCCCCTCATTCGCAGGCTTACGACCGACAATGATTTTCAAATTAGAAAAACCGCACAGTCGCTATTTTTCTTTTAGACAGTGCTGCGTTTCTATACTATTATAAACTTTTAAATTCAACGTACGTCATATACGTTCTACAGAAAACTATTTTGTTAAATAATTCGACAAGTTCGAGAAACGGTTTTTAAAATAACTGATTTTTAACCGCGGCAATGATTAAATCGTAAGCAGAAAAAGAAATGACCGAATTTTCAAAACTTTTACATAAAGTTTATTTTTTCGAAATTATGGGCAATTTTCTTGACCCGAGGGCCGTTGTCTTTTTATTTCATATTTTTTATCCCAAATGCATTTTGACTTATGCGATTCGTCCTTATCCTTGGACTTATAAACGAGGTGTGCACCTCAAAGCCGGATTCCCAAAATTCGTTCCCTAAATGGTGGCTAAATAAAAAAAAAAAAACTGAAGTTTTGATATTTTTGGTAAGAAATTTTAGTTTTTTGCTTTGTCGGTTACCTATTAGCGACGCGGACGAAATCAGGAAAAAGAAACAGTTTCATTAGTTGTTAATTCAGTTTCACGGGGAAGGAAGTATCGGCGACGATGGTTAAATTTAACGTAATAGGACTTCTGTACGGTCAAAAACCGAGGGAATTCAGTTGGGCAAGACATAATAATAAAATAATGCTAGTTGGAATTTTACTAGTAACAAGTAGGGACGTAAAAAAAGAAAACGACTATCGAACGTCATCGAACGCGTAATGTGTTTCGACTCTCGGCATTTCAGACTTTGTATTAGACGATTGTTTGTTTGATTTTATTTTTACGTCCACTCGGTTTCGATTAAATCAACGAATTCGACAAATACCAAAGATTATAGGTATGTACATTAGATACCCAATGTTTTTAATGTCGACGAGACAAAGGTTACAGAGATTATATTTTGTTACTTATAATTCGTGCGAGACGACGTACGGCTTATTAGATTAACATTGCGTTTCGTATCGACGAGTTTTAGATTCTGAGCGGGGCGAGTAATGCATCGGTTTTACAACGATGTTTATTATTAGTATTTTTTTTAATCTGAGGATAATTTTTCTACCGGCAAATTTCGCTCAGATTTTGAAGTGTAACGCTTTTACCGAAAATAAATTTGACTGCGGTGGTTATTTAAAAAAGTCATTTTTCGATTTTCCCAGCTGTTTTCATAATAAACGGGAAAACATGGAAAACGGAAAAATCGGTACAACATAAAAGAAATATTATTAAAGAAAAACATATAAAGCCTATTTAATTATTTCACTATATATGTGTATTGTTGACAAGGCATCACTATCAACTCAACTCCGCTCAGAATCGTTTTTCCGTTAGCGACGGCAAATCGTTGCGTATATGCGGATATACATTAAATTTCTCCTCTTCTACCTTCCCAACTTCTCACCTACAACAGTGGCCCGCCCATTATGCGAAGTATATCCGTATTTTTAATTTAATCTTTTATTATTATTCCAAAACGTATTTCGGGTTCTAAACCTGTTTTCCGTCATCGCGAATGCACGGAGCTTAATGCACGTGCTGCAATCGCCGCAGAGTGACACTGCGGGTGCGCTACACGGGGTAAAGGAAACTAGAAAACGTTTCGAGATAAGTGCTTAGACATGCCGCCGTGTACTTATCGCCGCGTCCTTGTGCAATTTTATACGATTACGATATTTAAGCGCGTAATATTATTATTATTATTATTATTATTATTATCCTTCGAGATATTGTTTTACCGGATGTGAGACGCGCGTGATATTGATGCGGTAAAAAAAAAAAATTTAAAAAACTGCGTCTGGTATTTAGTGCGGGTATGCCCGCTGTATATTGGATTATTACGCGCCGCGCAGGATTCGGACGCTGGTGGGAAAAGAGAGCTTTTTTTATTTTTTTTCTGTGAACGAAAGATAATTGCGAGCGAACGCGTATGTATTATAAAAGCGTGTATTTATTTAACGTGATTTACGATAAATAAAAAAAAATAAATAAAAATAGGTACCTCTAACGCGGAGGAAAAAAACCTTCGTCCTAATTTTTTCGCGCTCGACTTTATAACGCGGTCGTTATATAATTCAAAATTTTGTGCGTAGGACTATAATACACACACGCGGTCGTAAAAAAAAAAAAAAAAACGATGAGTAGTGTTGACAAGTCCGTGACCCATATTTTCGTTTTACTTTTCATACTTTACATATTATCTCGTCCAGCGCGCAAAACCGCGAACAACAATATTCACCACGCGAATTTCGGAATAAAAAACGAAAAAGCCAGGAGGGTTTACGACCCCTCGGAAGCGCACGGGTCGAGTCCGATTCAGACGCACTTGGCCGTGTAAATTGTGTTGATTCACACCGTCACCGAAAAAAAAAAAAAAAAAAAATCCGCATAAATATACTCGAAGAAAACGATTCTGTTCGATTTTAACGAAACTATAAAATATTATCACACGCGGTGCGTTGCTATTCTGCGGAAAACTAAAACCTGTGTGCTAAATCTATGGGTAATGTTTTTGTTTGTTTGTTTTTAAATCGTTAACTCGTACAATTCGACGAAAAGCGAAACAAATTAAATGGCGAAAAACTCGTCGTGCATGCACGTGAAACCCGAGTTCTTATACGAAATGTAAACGTTTTAAAAACGGCGGAAAAAACCGACTGATTTAGCCGACGGCGGAAAAAAAAAACAATAATAATCCTAACCAATACGCCCGCGCGTACTAAGGAAAACGTTTAAAACGATTAAAATACGTTTTAGAAAAAAAAAAAAAAAAAAAAAACCCGCGAGTCATAAAATAATTCGGCCGCTATACGCTCATCGTTAATTCTGAAATTGATATAATTTGGTTAGGTTATAGCGCGGCCGCGACACGGCGGTTAAGTGGATTCCACTTGCGCGCGTTAAGTTCGGACACGCCGCGCGCAGTGCGTGTGACTCAATCAATCACGTCGGGGCGTGCTGCGCGTACTAAGGAAAACGTTTAAAACGATTAAAATACGTTTTAGAAAAAAAAAAAAAAAAAAAAAAAAAAAAAAAGTGTCTTATGGCAGCGGATTGACTCATAAATCGCCAAGGTTCAAGGCGTCCGAAAAGGAAACGCGCTCGGGTTTTAACAATTTAACACCGTGTCAGAGCGTCGTCCTTCGGTGAACCCCGTGCGGACGACGGTGCCTCGCAGAATATTCGCGATCGTGTTATTACCATTATTACCATTATTACCATTATTGCCATTATTATTATTATTGTTGTTGTTGTTGTCGTGCTGCTGACCGTCCGGCGCACTGTCGGCGGCGGCTGTTCAATTGAAACCATTAAGTCGTCATCCGTTACGGACTGAATTTACGTACAACGCGACGGGAAGAGAAAAATTAAATAAAACTGCGCCCTGAACCGTCTCTAAAACAAATGCGTTTTCGTTTTGCAGATCATGTCCGCCGTGGCTGCCCACGTCAATTCGATATCCGTGGGCATGTGCCAGGGGTTCTCGGCGGTGCTCCTGCCGCAGCTCCTCGACTCCAACAGCTCGATCTTCGTGGATAGCGCCGAAGCGTCGTGGATAGGTGAGTAACGGTGTCCGCGTCCAAACGACGACCCCATCCCCGTCCCCCGGGGGCATTTTTCGTTCGGGGCTGAACGTCGATACTTTCGCGTGCGTCTTGTAAGGCGTAATTTCCCCTACAAACAGCGCACGATCATCGCTATCAGCGGCGCGCAGCGGCGTCACCGAGGCTCGTGCCGTACGAAGCGATTTCCGCAGTAAAAACGACCGGTGAAACCCCGTGCCGGGAAAAGCGGAAACTGAAAACTATCGCCGCTCGCGTACTTCGGCTTTTTCGTCGACGAATCGCAATACCCGTCCACGCCGCCACTACGGTAACGGCGGAGGCGCATTTTATGTTTGGTGACTTAAACCCGACCGGTGCCCAGGGCGGGGCCTGCTCTAAAATGCCCCGGCCCCCGCGATCGGCCCGCCATACACATTCGGTATTTATAACGGGCATTGTTGGGCATTTGAATATCAAACGTTATAACACGTCTGGTGTTGCGGTCGGGTATTTGATAGTTTTTAAATTTCGGAAATTCGCGGCGCCGCCAATTTCTGATGGCTGTTACGTTACGCGCGATTGGAAATGAAGTTGTTTTATATTTATTTATGTTTTTCTCGTCGAAATTCGATACCGATAAACGATAGGTTTTTTTGAACATCGCAATGCGCGGTTCGTCCGTCGTTACGTCACATAAATTCAGAATTCAAAATCGCATTGATCTCATTACACGGCCACGCCGTCGTCGGAACAAGTGAAAATGAATTTTGACTGTCTCTCGTTATTGTCGGTGTGTTCTCTTTTTTTTTCTCTCTCTTTTTTTTTTACCCCGCGTGTGCGTCTAACGAACCGCGTTTAATCGGGGAACGATTGTTTGGTAAACAAATAGCGTCGGACGGCATACGCGCACCGCGCCCCGATAAAACGCCCGCCGATGCCGCCGAATTCGCGATCGTGCGCGCGTGTTTTTCAACGCTTCCGCGAAAACCCGAACGGCGCACGAAATCCCCGCGAGGAGTACAAACGCCAACGTATCGCACCGACAAGGGGGGGGGGGACGCCGGACCGGGCACGCGCTACGGCGACCCGTCGCTTGTTGCCGTCCCGGGACATTCGTCCGACGCGTTTTCGGTAAACAGTGCGGCCCCCTCACCGCGAAAATTCGCGTCGCCCTGCGCGGTTCGCGCCGGCGCTTCTCGACACGTTTTTCTACCGTCGCGACGCCCCAAAATGAATGTTCCGGTATCCTGAACGGCCCTTGAGTGCGCGCGTATTTTGTGCGCGGCGGCCCGGTAGCTCTGTACTCTCGGCGGCCCTAAACAACCGGTCGGCCGCGACCACCTCCCCCCACCACCCCAAAGTTTGAGAAACGCCGGTTCACGCCGCGCACAGAGCGCAGTGTATCGCGGCGCGCGCTCGACTTTGCCCCGCGGTCGAGCGTACACTCCGCCGCGCGATTTTTTTTTTTTCGTCTTATCTCTCGCGTACGGCGACGGGGGCGAAGGTACGAAACAGTCGACTGTTCTTCGAGTGTACCGGCTCGCGTATGTTATACGGGTGGGTACAGAGCGTTCGGCGCGTGCACCGCCGTAAGAGGCCGACGCGTCAACGACGAACAACGCGTATCGTTAACGACGCCGGCGACGCGCGCAACAACAACGACAACCTGCGGGTTAGCGAATGCGACAAAGAAAAAAAAATAAATAAATAAATACATAAAAACCCGACCGGTTTTGAAAAAAATGTCCCGTAACGATTATCGTTGTTATAGCCGCGACCGTAACATACCGGTCGATCAATGTTAACGATAATAATTGTTCGCGGGACCGTGGGTTTGGCCGCGTTCGGTTCGTACTTGGTGCGCGTGTTTCAATAACGATCGAAACGATCCCGTTTCGGGATTAGCGCGCGTGCGGCGGCCCGCGGCGAACGGTCTCCGGAGATTCGCGCGACGCGTAAAAAGATTTGAAAAAAAAAAAAAACCGCCGAAAATGCCAATAAGGAAACGATTTGTCCGGTGGGCGTCCGGCCAATCACTCGACTGTAGAGCAGAAAAAAAAAAAAAAAAAAAAAAAAACCGTATTCTCGCCCATTATATGCATATAGACGTACCCGAGTGCTGCGATATTGTGCGTATTATTACACCGTGCGGTGCGATACGTTTTTTTTTTTTTTTTTTTTTACTTTCGCTCTGTAAACCGCAGACCATAACAAGTGTATGATAATAATATCGTACGGGCACAATAATTTCAATCATTAAGAGCAATGCCATTGTATAATAAAAAAATATTACGCGTGCACATATACGTATATAATGTGAATAATACCTTATCCCGGGTTCGAGGTGTCTCCAGGTTGCGGTCAAGGTTATCCGGTATGAAAATATAATATAAACGCGTTCGATAACAATCGCGAGCGGCCGCGCAATAAATATAATATTTTCGCGAAACGGCGGAGTAAGACGGGAAAAAAAATGAAAGTTTCTGCCCGCGCGTCTCGGCCGCGGCTCTGATCGCTCGCGATCGCGTCGTGCGATTGGTCGCCGCCTCAAATGACACATGATTGACGTGCCCGGTGGTCGGCCAATCGCCGTAACCCATTCTGATGATAATTCGATATTCCGACCGAATTCCCCGCGTCTCGTTTTTCAATTTATTTCTCGCCCATTTTCGTAAACTTTCGCGCGCGCCGAAAAACCCGTAAAACAAAATCACTCGTTACCCGGCCGCCGCGTTTCGCGCCCGCGCGCACGACAGTAATTTCGTTATTGCGCGTTTCGCGTATTGCTCATTAAGATACACAATAACGATAAGAATAATGATAATAATAACAGCGATAATAATAATATTTGTACGCGTACGCGTATAACAAGTACAATTAAAAATAATTTTAGATATTACACCATAATTATTTTGATCGGGTACATGTGTACCGACATAGCGGGTACCAAAATTGTATGTTTTCGTTCACAGTGTTTTTCTGTTGTTGTTGTTGTTTGTTTTTTTTTTTTCAACGTACATAAAAAAAACGTTACTTAAACGCGCCGTACCCGGTGTCCGTGCCCAATCTGTTATTATTGCATGAATATCGTAAAAATATTAATCCGCGGCGATACAATAATAATAATAATAACGAAAAATATTGTATACACGGTTCCGAGTCGAAATGTCTCTCAATACGGAGAGATAAAATGAAATCTGTAGTCGAAAAATATCTCCGATGGAAATATCCTACGGAACACACGCCTGTTGAAAACGAAAACAAAAATCTCTACGATTACCAAATCAATAACGCTCGCGATAATATTATGTTTTCTGGTGAACGCGTTAGTACAGAAAAACAAAACAAAACGAAACGAAACGAAACAAAACCGATACGACGGCTACTTGAACACGTTATTGCAGTCAACGCGACGGGAATATTGCGCCGAAGTTTTGATTGTTTATAGGACTGTTCAACACCCGACACTCGGTGTTTATTTCCGTTTGGTTTTATAACAATTGCAATATCGCCCGTGTTCGACTATGTCGTGTACAATGCGGAAATACTGTCGAGATGTTACGTTTTCCATCGGAACACACTGCGCACGTACAGTAAACGTTTTTTTTTTTTTTTTTTTCCGTTGCGGTACAAAGATATTCCGACAAACCGGTTCGACAATTGTGTTCGGAAATGTCCACGGTGATGAGCGTTGGCGATCGCACACGCGCAGTACACAATCGCGTTGCTCAGACTTGAAACGCGGTGTGCCGCGTTCCCGTCGCTCGCGTACGCGGTGGAATACGTCGTCGCGCGCGAGGATGCGAGTACTATGAAAATGCCGACGTTCATGTTGTTCGTCGAAAAACGTAGAAGCCGAAAAATAATAACAAAAAGAGAGACAGAGTGAGATGCCGTACAGGGGATGTTTTCGCGGAGATATTCCGATCGGTCGCCAACACGCGGGTCGCCCCGCGGTACCGACGTAGCCGGGGCTATGTCCGAATTCGTCGTTCCCGTTTGGAAAAAAAAAAAAAAAAAAGGCCATTTTACGTAGGTCGGCCGAATCGGTTCCCGTTTAAACTCGTGGTGTGTCCGCTGTACGGGTCGAATCAGTTCCCGCCCCGTTCGCAGCGAGTTTCTCAGACAAATACGCACATTTCCCTCGTCATTCCGCGCAGGCTCAGCGCCGACGACTTGGAATTGATTAACGGTTGTTTTTTTTTTTTACCAAAAAACGTTTCGATATTTTGTATTTGGTGCGCTGTACGCAAAAGTTAAATAAAAGTTTAAGAACGTACGACATTGTACCCGCACCTATCGCGTTTATTGTATGAATGCATAGGTATTAAACGGGAAGTGATTCGGCGTGCGGGGGATATGATGAGCCCGGAAACCGATTCGGATGCGTCCGTTGTCGGAAGAGGACACCGACTTAGAGGGGGGGGGAGGGAAATCCAACACGTCCTAACCGACTGTTCGCTAACGGCCGAGAAAGTTTGGCAAAATAAAAAGTCGATTGTCCGAGTGGGCTTTCAAGAACATCTTCTCGACTGTAAATCGTATTGTTTGAAGCTCGCCGGAAACGCCGTCTTCGTCGACACTGTAAACGGAATGGCGGCGAGTAATTGAAAATAATTTAAACGCTGTTCGAAACGCTGAACGACATTATTAAATTCGTGTCGTATAGTGTCGAAATAATTTCGGCAAATTTGACCGTTGACGACGCGTTCCTCCCTAGTAAACTTGCTCCGATTTTTACGCGTAGCAACTTTTCTGAAAGCTCAAGTTGTCTATACGGTACTTTAAAGAGGACGTTTTCGAATAAAAGCACCGAAATGGGAAAATACGTTGGAAAACGTACAAGGTCACGATTTCGTTATTTTATAAAAACACGGACGACGTTTTCTACCAGAAAACATGATTTAATCGAAAAATCACAAGATACCTTTTTTGTTGCCTTTTCGTTTTACTATCTTACGGTATCATCGCCAAAACTTTTGAGCCACTACTGAGCTTTTAAGGAATTTTAATTGTTGGGAGTTTTTTTGCTGTAATTCGGTTATAAATACACGTAGAGACTTGAAACTCGGTAACAATACTTATATTGGACTTAAATAGACGTGGTGAAATTTCCAAAATCATCGAAAGACTTTTTTTTTTTCTAATAAACGTTTTTAAATCATATTTAAACGAAAATCGCAAAAAAAAAAAAAAAAATACGGCACTCCAAATTATGCATTTACCGACTGCGCTCGGAATCGTCTTTCGTCAAGCAATGGTTTATCGTTTCTCATACAAACGAAATAACCTTATGTATCCTACCTTCCCAACTTCTGACCTACAACAGCGGCCGCTCCCATCACAGGTATTTTTTTATTTTTTTTTTTTTTTATCGGGACGAGACAGGACGGGATTCTCGTTGGGAATAAGAAGACGTCGGGTTAGGTTAGGTTTGTGGTTAGGCCGGTACCAAGCGCAACGAGATTCTCGCGGCATGTAGCTTATGGTGGCTGGTTTTTCGAGCGGCCGTCCGACGGTAACGGCGGGGTATCGCGTCCCCAGAAACGGTTTCCCGACGGCCGCGGTGGGTACGTCCGGGTGTAATATTTAACACGGCGCGGTAATTTGAAAAAAAAAAAAAACATAAAAGACCAAAACGAAACTCGCAAAAACCCGGTACGCCGCACTTTTGATCGGGTCCGCGCGGAATAATAAATCGAAATTTCGTCGTTACGGCGCGCGTACGCACGCCCACACGGGTACGTTGCAATAGCCGTACGGGTACAGCCGCGCGCGTGTAACGTCGCGGCGCCGACACGAACGCAATTATCGGATCCGCAATGGATACGATAATGTTAACAAGTCGTTTCCGGCAACCGAGAGTTATAAGGTCGCGGCGAGATAATTTGCTCGCGCGAAACTACACGTTTCGCTGTTGCAAATCCGAAACGTCACGGAACGTAATGTTTGTCGTGCGTGTGCGCGCACGTGACAGAAAACGGGATTTTGTTCAGGTGTTGTTGGACGCACGGCGCGTTATTATATCGGCGAGGTGAACGGGAGACGTTTCCAAAGCCGAAAGGGACTGTCCCGGACCGTTTCCGCGTCGGTCGGTGGACGCGTCAAAACTATAGCCGCTCACTCCCGAATCGTTTTTCCACTGACGGCCAACCGCACGTAATAACCGATTTAGCTTGACGGCGATTTTTTTTTTCTCCTTTTTTTTAGGGTTATAGAACCGATGTTCCGAAGCCCGGGGCTCCGACAGCGCGTATCTCTCGACGTTTAGAGCCGACAATATGAGTTTATCGCCGGTAAACCGAACGGTTTCCGATTGCGCAATAGTTATTTGTCGTGGTCGTGCCGGAAATGAAAACGCGACTTACGTCGAAAACCCTGTGCCGACAAAACGTATCACGAATTCGCGACCAATACGAGTCTCGACAATCGGTGGTCGAGTTGAGGTGTCAGCTTTCTACAATACCGTTCTGGTTAAACTATGCCGAAACTGCGATACGCGCTGTCGCGGTATGAGCGACGGTTTGTTATTAACGTTGTTGGCGATACATTCGAAGCGAAATCGTCGTTTCCATGTAATACCTATGCGTATTTATAGTATCGTACCCGATGGCGTGGCCGAGATTTGAATTTTTGTTTTTTTTTTTTTGTGGGGGGGAGGAGAGGCGTTTTTATTTGCGTTCAGATGTAATTTCATAGCTTGTTATCGCACGAGTGTGGCATTATAACACACGCGCATAACATATTATACTGAAACAATTATCTATGCGCTACACATCTTATAGAAATCCGATGCGCAACTGTGTATAGTGAAAATTATAACTATCGGCGTAAACATGGCCAAGAGGGGGCGATGGTGTTTTAACGCCTAAACTTCCCCCCTTCCACCCTCTCGATACGCCACTGCAGATTATACTCATTGACTGTGTTGCCCGTATACCCTATTTGATATACGAATAATACGGTTTTTTTTTTTTTTTTACAGCCAGCTTGGGAGTTATATCGAATCCCTTAGGAGCACTCATGTCGGGATTTTTTATGCAGATCTTGGGAAGAAAAACCACGGTTCAGCTGACGGCCATACCGTTTTTGATCGGCTGGACGATGATCGGATTGTCTACAGACCTGACGAATCTGTGTCTAGGACGATTCGTGTCGGGCGTCGCGGTCGGTAAGCAAAACACAAACAAATAGAATATCATTGACACATTATGTATACGGCAGCGGATCTTCGACATTTTTTTCCGGGAGTAAGGGATCCGGAATAATAACGTATATCCCATCGATTATTCCGAACAGCATATTTCAGTATATTTCAAACGGATAAAATCCGCGTCGGGGGACGGGTTGTCCAAACTACCAATAAATCCGACACCGGGTGTATACATATACTGGCCTATTTAAACGTCAAACCGGTAGAAAACCGTCAAGAATACTCAAATATTGTTAATACACAAGTATTGCGTTTATTTAATGGGCACGCGCGCATTTAGCGTATTTATATTATAATATCATATAGTTTGGTAGAAAAACGATATTATAATATCATTGCGAGAATTAGAAGTTTTTATTCCGGTTGTAATACGTTCGGAAAACTACGAAAAATGTGATTTTTGTTATATTTTTTTATTATTATTATTATTATTTTTTTTTTTTTAATAAACCGACTAAACATCGGTTCTCTAAACGAACGCGTTCGATTGTATTTTCGCAGGCATGTCGTCGGCCTGTTACGTTTACGTGGCGGAAGTGAGCCTGGCCAAACACCGCGGAGTGTTGTCGGCGTTCGGGCCGATTTGCGTGTCGATCGGCGTGCTGATCGTTTACTCGTTGGGCTCGGTCATGCCGTGGCAAGTGGTGTCCATGCTGTGCGCGCTCACGTCGTTCCTGAGCTTCCTGTCGGTGAACCTGACCCCGGAATCGCCGTCGTGGCTCGCGTCCAAAGGCCGCATAACGGACGCGGGCAAGTCGCTAATGTGGCTGCGGCGCAGGCCGTCGCTGGCCGACAAGGAGCTCGCCGAGATACTGAACACGCTGGGCACCGGCCCGGAGACCGGGTTCGCGCCCGAGCTCAAAGACTTCACGGCGCCCACCGTGTGGAAACCGTTCCTGATTCTCTTGTGTTTTTTCATACTGCAAGTGTCCAGCGGCATTTACATGATACTGTACTACGCGGTCAACTTCTTCCAAGTGGCCGGTTCCACGCTAGACAACAACGTGGCGTCCATAATCGTCGCGCTGCTCAGGCTCATAATGAGCATCACCGGTTCCATATTCATACAGCACCTGAACCGCCGGACGATGGCCATGACGTCCGCGATCCTGATGTGCGTGTCGATGGCCGCGTGCGGCACGTACGAGTTCGCGTACGGCGCGCTGAACGTCGCCGACCGGCCGTACAGCTGGGTGCCGTTGGTGTGCATACTGTTTAACGTGAGCGTCAGCATGCTGGGCATGGTGCCGCTGCCGTGGATGATGATGGGCGAGCTGTTCCCGCTCAAGGTCCGGGGCATAATGGGCGGCGTGGTCCCGTCGCTGGGCTATTTTTTCATATTCGTCACGGTGAAAATATGCCCGTGCCTGATGCAAATGTTGAAGATCAATCAGATCATGTGGCTGTTCTCGGGCGCGGCCGGCCTGGCCGCGTGTTTCATCGCGGCGTTCTTGCCGGAAACGCGGGGCAAGACCCTGTTGCAGATCGAGGAGATGTTCAGCACCGGAGCCCGGGGGGAGAAAACCAAGTGCGAGTACCCGGACAAGGGCTTCAAACGGAAAACGATAACGGAGTCGCCCGTGTACACGATCAGTTCGAAATTGGACGTGTGCCACAAATTATGACGCGTCGCACGCACGCGGACGCGCGCGCAAAAGAGAAAAAATTACAGAAAACATAATCAACGGGTTGCACACACACACACACACACATTTCGTATCCATATATTAATACACACACGATATGATTACCTATATATATATTTTTTTATTTTTTTTTTTTTCACTTTGGCTGTGGATAAAAACAAACTTACGATAACAATAATAATAATAATAATAACAATAACAATAATAACAATAATAATTGTAATCGATCGTTTTGCGCGTGGCCGACGTTGGAAACGCCCTATTATTTGTTAAGGATTTTTTTTTTTTTTTTGTTCAATAACATCGACAGTTTTCGAGCGTTTTCACTTTCCGGACGTGCCGCGTCGGGATTTCGCGCCGAGGCCGGCGACGGCGCCTTTTCGACAACAGTCGAAACGAATCCGCGACGTTATCGCGATAATATTTTCGCACGCACGGGACGCAGGAGGTGCCCGTTTCCGCCGACGGCGTCTGTCCGGACGGACAAAAACGACAACGCAGTGTTCGCGTGTTTCACCCGAGACGACGGTGTCCGCGTCCGGAGAGCGACAATTCTTTTTGACAATTTTCCGGAGTTGTTTTATTTTTTTTTTCTCTCTCTCTCTTTTTCTAACAATATTCCCCGTCTCGCGTACCGAACGATTATTGTTGTTTCCCCGCCCCTCCTCACCCCCGTTCTTTAAACGGCCGCGCGGACGTGTCGTTTGTCCGAAACCGAACGCACCGGCTGGCAGCGGTGTCGCGGCCCCGCGGTATTCGTCCGAAAAACACCGCGGCGCCGGAAAACCGGCCGCACGCGCGCCCCGCCCCGCCCCGCCCCGCCGACGGGGCCGCGGACCGTAAGTTCGCCGTCGACCGGCCAAGAAGAGAAAACAACGGCGGTTGCCGGTCGTCGGAACCGGACGAAACGGGAAACACGCGTTGCCCGTTGTCCCGCACGGGTTCTACCCGTCGCGCGTGCAACACAACGCGCGGCGCGCGTTCAGTCATCTATCGGTTTGTTTATTCCACGCTGTAATATTGTCGCTTCGATATTGTTGCGCGTGCGACCGTACGGTATCGCCTGTAATTGTAAATAAAACGAACTTGTGATATTATTTTATTGTCAGATTATTATTGCGCATTGTGTAAAAATCTGATGGCGTATTGTTAGTACGCCGACTTTTTTTTTTTTTTTGTATATAAAAAATTATTTATTATTAATTATTTTTGTTTTTATGTCACGTTGCATTGTGCGAACATACATACATATTTATTTATACGTGAAACAATATAGAACGTCAAATATCCAGAAACGCGACTTTTTTTTTTTTTTTTTTACAACCCTCCTTATGTCCACCGGCCTATCCTCACTATATACCCGACGACAGTGACGTTCGCGGGTTTTTTTTTTTTTTATCTTCTCATATTCCCGACGTTTATTTCGGAAGCCGTATAATGAGACGGACGTCGATTCGCGCCGGTGCGCCGGGCCACCCGCTGCGAACCGTTCGAAATGAAGAGCCCGAGCAGGCACGCGTTTTTTCACCGTTTTCCCCGCGATCTTCGCGGTTATCTTGTGAAAACCGCTTGGAAAAAAAAAAACCGCCTGCTCATTTGAGTACAGTGATTTTCCAGCACCCGCCGGAATTTCCTCCCGGAAGAACGCTAGGAGCGAGATTTCTCGTAGAAAAAAGTTGTTCGCGGATTAAAAAAAAAAATTTAAAAAAACACGCCGTCGTAAACCAATGCGTTCCGAATCTGGAATGGAGACGAGTTTGTTATCGAAAAACAAAAATAAATTTAAACCTAATGATTGTTCCGAAACTACCCGAGAATCGCGATAATAAAACACGTTGGGCGCGGTTTTAATCGCAATTAATAACCAAGATTTTTTTTTTTTTTTTTATGCGCCGGTTTGGATTAAACGTTCGAACGTCTTTCGACCGCGGACAAATTCAATCACGCGTAACAACGCGCGGGTCGAGGCCGGAAAAACTCTCCCGTCCGCGCAGCTGCGATACAAAACTACGCGACACGAACCGCGTGCGTGGTGCGAGTTTTAAAGCGACCCCGCGTTTGAAAGTCCCGTCGATCGGGCGGCGGTCGCCGTCGTCGGTGCGGGTACACCGGCCGAGCCCTGCCCCCTCCCCCCCCCGGTGTAATGTCTTCCCGCGGTCCTACACGCGTCGTCGTTTCGCCAGGAACAGAACGGCCAGCGACTTCCAGAACCGTCGACAACCGTTCAAGCTTTTCACGTTCGAGGGCGACGTTGGCGGATAAACCGGGGGCGATCGATGGCAGCCCCGCGAGAACACAACGTCACGCGGCACGCGTTCCTCCGCAATGGGTCCCCCCCCCGCAATTGTTCCGTTTCGAACACATTTCGCGGCGTTCTCTTGACCGAGCCGCGACGGTAACTGAAAACGGCACGAAAAACCTCCGTCCGACGTCACAGTCGCCGCCGCTTTACCCGCGCCTCGGCTGTACAGGCGCCCCCCGGCTCAACGAGGTTTTCCCGCCGCGATAAATCAAATTTAATTCAATTTAAAAATAAAAACCCACTCCAACCGTCGTCGTCGCAAAATAAAAAAACTGCAACGACCCACAAAGACAATAATGCGTGACGAACATTGGCGCGACCAGGAATTTCCAACGAGAGGGAATGTGGCAAATAAGCATCGTGAATAAATCGTAAAGATCGTCGTTTTCTTTACCCGACTCGACTCTATGGGAATTGTTAATTTAAAAGCCGGTTCCTAAAATAAAAAAAAAAAAAAACAGGCAATTTCTAATCAATACGTCAGGCTTTTTCCTCGTGACTCGGCTGAAATACACTCATTTCCCGATATTAGATCGCTCGTATTTTTTTTTTGTATTTTCTAGCCGACGGTAGGTGGATATGACCCTCAACCTCCCGCTTGCCGCGCACGCCACTGATAACGAGTATGATGCACGAGTTTAAGCGGAAACCCTCCACTGGAGGACCGATGGAATCGAAAAATTTGAACGCAAAAAAACGTGACAATTTTGTTAATAACGTAACGACCGGTATTTTCGAGAGAAAACTGTCAAGAGGACGCGTTACACCCGCACGCGCTGTCCTCGGTCCGACTAACGTTCGCAAAATCTACTCGCATTGCGCATGACTCGTTTAATTGTTTTGAAAGCTAATACGAGCACAGTATTCCGGACGGCGAGACGACGCGTTTCTTAGTTTTAAGTTCAGCATTTCAAATGGCACAGCCGTTCAAAAACGACGAATCCGATCGCTATTGGATTGTGTAAACGATGCGCGTTGAACGGTTTTTAACGGGATAACAGTCGGAACGGGGAAAACGGCCGTGCCGTCGTGCCACTTCGGAACATTGGCGTCTTTCGATTTTCCACACGGTAGGCGAATTTTCAATCTAAAAACACTCTAAATCAAGCGGGTCCTGCGCAATGTGCGCAAGGCGGATTTCGCCGCGTCGCCCGTCAGTCACAACACACACGGCTGCGTCGTCTTAACGGTAACAGCGTATTAACGTGAAAACGACCGGATTATTATTAACGCGTTGTGATCTCGCGATACGGCGGCCGATAACGGCCAGTATTGTCGCCGACCCGGCGCCCGCTCGCAATAATTACCGCGCGGAATACGATATTATTGTTATCGGCGAAAACGGACAGCGGCGGCGGGCATATCAACACGGGGTTTGCGGACCCAATAGATTATCGACAAACGATCGAATACCGCTATACCATATGGAATACACGCGTAAAACGTTTATGAAAATAATTGTAATAATTAAAAAAAAAAAAAAAAAAAATACTAAAACGATTTAATCTTGAGCAATAATAACGCGTGCGCGCACGTGTTATTATAATATACGGTCGAGTGTTATAAACGTTGCCAAAGTGGCGATTGTAATACACGTGCATAATATTAATAATATGCACCGGCGATTTATTGCTGACCCATTTGTGAATTATGTTTTTTTCATTAACCGACTCGTGCGACAGGCCATTACCGGATTATTATGATAATGTCGTTACGGAGCGTTCGATACGAAATTGTGAATTATCGTTACTAACGTATAATGGCTCGTGCGATATTCGGACGGTCGCCAATCGGTTTACTACGCTCGAGAGGACGCGCCACGGGTGCCCGAGTAACGGAGCAACACGGCGAAATCTTATAAAGTCCAACTTACTCGCAGTCCGCGTAGGCAAACTCGCTTGATTTTCGGTTTTAGAATTTAAAACGCCCGGTACGAAATTTTTAGAGGATGATATTTCGAACGGGATTGCATAGGTGTTTTTTTTTTTTTTCTAATTACGAACTATTAAAAAAACCACGATCGTTTAAAAAACTAAATCAGTTTTCGCCCATTTATATCGGGCTGTGTGTACAGAATAACGCGAAAACCCGACGAGGTTCCCTCCAAAATATTCGCGGCTCTATACATTTCATAATAATAGGTACTTTTTACTCTACAATCAAAATGAAACTAATTCACGTAGCGTCTGCGTAAGCATTGTTTTTGCATGTTGTGTTCAGTAGTCGAGCTGAAAAAGTATAGATGCGGGTGTAGCGCGCTCTTAAGAGTGTTTTTTTTTTTTTTATTAAAAGGACTCATTGTTGAATAAAATGAATGACATTTTTTTTATGTCTGTAAGCAACGATAAACCGTTGCTAATGAGTTTTTCATCAGGGATTCTGAGCGACGTTCGTTTATACGTTTTAAAATGCCGTAATTTTTACGTCAAAATTTGAACTCAAAACTCTTAAATCAAAAAAAAAAAAACTGAAGTGTAATGTAGTAGACATTACACTGAAATTTTTTTATTAAATTTCAATTTTCAAACATTTCTGTTTAATGAAACAGTTATATCCGCATAGTACATACCAAATAAAAGCTACGTAAAAAACTCACAAACATCAAATGCCTATAAATAGCTCTACAATCAAGAAAAATGTTTTAAAATTTTACCACGTCTATAAAAGACAAATATAAGTTTTTTGTTGACATTTCATGTCTCTACAAATAACTGAATTACAACAAAAAACAAAATTGAAAATAATTTCCGTAGACTATCCTGTCCTTTCTGCTACTTTTCCGGCTTTGTTCAATTATTAGGATACCTACACAGAAAATCAAAAACAACTTACTTATTCAACAACTAGATCCAAAATTCAACAAAAATGGTCTCTTGGCATTTTTTGATTAAAGTAAGATTTCTGGTAGACAATATATAACGTAAAAATGAAAAACAACGAAATGCCGCGATACGCCGTAAATATCCATCCGTTTATAATTACAGGTTTGTTCCCGGTTTTTTAAAATTGTTTTGAAAACCCATTGGAAAATCAAAAAGTTATCTTTCCAAAGTACCAACTAGAACCAAAATGCAATAAAAAAGGTCTCTTATTTATGTTTTGATTGGTCAAGATGTCCAAGAGAAAAGTCGTTTACAGACGGAAAAAAAATACACATAACAGTAAAACCAGTAGATCCCTCGTTACGCTCGGATTTCGAACGTAAGTTTAAACATCTTATATTTCCGTTATGTTCGCCCGTCCGTATAGTTACCGTATACTTAATGCATGGTTACGGTTGTCGATTTAGTTAATAAGGAGTCGCATATACTTCGGAACATAATTATTACTGTTAAAAAATATTATTATCGTAGGTGTATTATTATCAATGTTCATTTAAATTTGAGTATTATAGTATAAATCCGCACTGTTGCCAATATGAAAAAAAAAATATGGATGTACTTCGCACGGTGGATGGGTCACTGTTTTAAGTGGGAAGTTGAGAAAGCAGGATATAAAAAAATAATTTAATTATCATGTCTGTATGTAACGATAAACCACGCGAAGTTTCTTTTAAACATGTACGTACATTTGTGCGTTTTTTCTCGGTTTTTCCCGATCGTTTTAGAAACCGCTTAGAAAATCAAAAAAAAAGGCCTCCTTTGAGTACCGCACAAATAAAATGTCCTTTCAAAAAAAAAGTGCTACGATTGAAAACCGAAACGTAGAATAGTTGGCGGAAAAGTTGTTCACAGAGTAAAAAAAAATAATAACAAACAAACGTCGTCGTAAAACCTAAATTCCCCGCCACGCTCCAAATCTAAAACGGTTGCCGTAAATTCGAGCGCTTTGAGAATTTCAAAAACGTCCCGCCGACTATGCCGGTACGTTTACATCCGAAAACGGAATGAACCACCGTGAAAATACGTTTTGAAACCGGGAACTTTGCGCGTTCCTTTGGCCGTCCGGACTTGTTCGTCGCTTACCGGACACTTTACCGCACTATTGTCACGCTCGACGCACAACCGGTTTCGTTCGCCGTGCGGACCGTGTAATCACGCCCGATAAACAATGGCGCGGACGTACGATTATGTTGTCGAGAAGTTATGCGTCGGGCAGCGGGCCTCCGTAGCAGTCGGATCGAACATGGCGACAACCGCGCGTTGTCATTTCGATCGCGGCGTTATCATCGCGCATAGCTGACGCGCCGGCGGAACACGTGTGTACCGTCGCACACGAATTAACGGTACCGCGTGATTTTTCGCGACGAAATAAATCGTAATTGTGGTCGGGCGGCGGATTCGCCAGCCCGGCGTTTCGGGTTCGTTTCCCCGATTTGAACGTCCGACGACGCGGGCGCGCGAAGCGAACCGGTGGAGGGAGTAGGGGAGGCCGTCGCGTGTTTTTTTTTTTTTTATCGTTCTCGATATTCTCGCATTATCGCATCGCGCAGGCCCCCCGCCGACTGGTTTAATTTGACAAAAACGGACAACGGAGCAGGGCCGACATTTGTGTGGTTCAGACCGTATGATTTTCGGCCGCCCTACTACTTTTTGCGTTTTCGGACCGCGCGGAATGCCGTCCGATTGCGCCGCCGTCGATTGAACGTAGAAAGAAATGCGAAACAGAAATAATATTTTGACTATTAAAACCTAAAACGGGAATATAAGCGACCGAAACAATCGAACATTTTGTTTTTTTTTCCTCTCCGCGAAATAAACGAGACATGTATGAATGGGGTCTGATGGGGGAAAAAATCGGCTCGAATTCAAATGTCACACGACGCCCCCGAAACGGAGCAAAATTGCGTTACCTATAAAAGCGGCGTTCCCGTGTAAATTAGAATTTAAATACGAATAACGCAAATTTCACAATATTATTTTCTGGCTACTGCAAAATAAAAGCGAAACTGACATTGTTGTACATTTTTTGTTTGACAATGTTTTTTTAGAAAAAAACGACGTTATGTCCTCGAAAATGTCCACCTCTTTTAATTTCATTATTTATCTTTGTACAATAATTTAAACCTATACGCCACAATTAAGTATTAACGTGCCAATGGCGGGTTGCATACACGATCTATAAAAAGGAATTTGATATGATATCGTGTCGATCAGGCCCGGGTCGAACGGTGGACAACATAGGCCCGCGCGTAGGGCGGCATTTTTCATTACCGCGTAACAAAATTTGTACGATAATAAAAATTGTGAAAAACAGCAAATTATATTATGTTGCGAGTTCGATGAGAGAGTTATGAGACCGTTTTAAATATTTATCGAACCAGAATCGGGCTTTTAAACTGTCGATCCGATAAAAGGGTCATTTGTCGAATCGATAAACGAAATAAGTCGTTTCTGCACTAGCCAATTTCGCTTTACCGATAATAATTTCTTTTTAAAAGCCACTGTTTATTGGTCATTTATGCAACTCCGCATCATGTAATTAACGAAGTTTCGCAATATTATTTCGTCCGTTAAACGGATTTAGCGAATGCGAATATGGCGTCCTCTCGGTATTACATTAAATAAAAACCATACAAATTGAAGGAAAAGAAATTTTTTTTTAATCAACATTATTATATATACTTATAACCGCATTAAATTTATATAATAATTATAGTTCATAAGTGTACGGACAGGATGCAGAGACTGCGGAGTGTTGGGTAATATCGTTTCATTTCACTCACCTTGGCGTAAACCAGTGTTGTAATGTAATTATTAATTATACATTTAAAAGTGGCGATAAATCACCGCGCGTTCGAAAAACCATTTTAAGCGGTTTAGTTTGACCAAAATACAGTATCATGTTGTTTAGAAAAAAAGTAACATGGGAAACGTACCCATCTTCCTAGTCCGGAAATTTAATCCGGAGGGACCCGGGCCGCGTTCCATTGTCAATTAATATTATTAAATCTACTTGGCGTACCTACGACATCGGTCCAATAAAAATATCATTAGACTATATTATTACAGCCAATGGAAATCTGTCGGTTTAATAAACGCGTTTTAAAACATTTGATTTCCGTCGTCGTTTTCAGAAAACGTACAACCTTGTGAACCGAACATTGAAAATTCGGACGTATTCAACACCCGACAAAGTATTTCGGTGTTTTTCAACGGTGTGTTTCGCGGATTGTTACGTTCGTTATTGTAATAAACAGACCGAAAAAAGGCGAGATATAAAGCGTCACGAATAATTTTTTTTAATATCGGGTGTTTTTATTTAATAATTTTGCTCTAGTGAAATCAACCGCCGCGTCGGCCAACATATTAACATTATTTTTTAGTGGTCGTTCCCATGCAAAATAAATATTATAATAACGTTCATCATTTCATTTCGGTATAGTTGTTTTATTTCACGCGTTTTATTAGTCTTCAATGTTTTCCTTTCTAGTTTAAAACGATTACTTTTTTTTTGGAGTATTTAATATAGTTAATTTATTTTGTATTCAACGTTATTTTTTCTCGTTGTGGATTTTTTTGAACGTCAAGGATTTCTTACCGTTTTCATTTTTACGCGAACCCTACGAGCCGGTACAATTATTCTGTAAGATTCAAACAGGATGCGGAAACATCGTTGAAGTTCAACGGCCACTGTGTTTAATATCGCGTCTGCAAAGTGCGTAAGTATTCAGTGTAAATAAGTGAGTTTGGTAAACCATATGGGAAAAGCGCTGTTCCGGAATCTCGGGTGTTGGGTAACCCAAAACTCCCCGAGCGGGGAAAGGGCTCCCGCAGAGTACATATTTTTGGTTGTCCCCCCCTAATATTTCTATCAGTGGATCACCTTGCAGTGGTGGATCGCGGTAAGGTTGTAGGAAAGTTTTTTTTTTTTAGCCATAACAACTAACAGGTAGGTACATACAATTTTAGTTTCATCGACTATATTTTACTGCTGCTATTTTTGCTGTTTGTACTATTATGTTTAAAATTTTATTACTAACCGCGCGAGTACAGTAGAGTGTGACAATACTCTTCAGTCCCGATATTACAAAAAATAAAAAAAACTAAATTGTTTGTTTTCAAAAGCAATAATATTTCAAATCACGTAAATATTTCAATTCACCTTCTCTACTGCGCTATAGTGGACTAGGCCTACACTCGGGGATACCACTCTAAAAAAAAACGCGCCCGGTGCAATACCTCATGCTTTGATGAAACCGTCAAATAATAAAGTATTGTCGTTTGTCAAGCTAAGGTGGTGGGGAAAATTGTACATAACATTATAATTTATACCAGTCGACTATTGATATTTTAAAGTTCACGGGAACGAAAAATGTCAAATCGAGAAATTAGAATATAAAAAGGTTAGGTTAGATTAGATTAGGTTTGCTAAGAACTAATCAAAATATCGAAACGAAAATTTCACTTAGCTGGTACCGAGAAACGTACTATATGATATGATACGGGCGTATGAAAATTCTTTAACGGTAAAACAATTCCCGAAAGTTGCAGAGTGACAGTATGATTTATTATTTTAATTTGCACGCGGTATCAAGTCATAGTGAATTTAGCTCCACCAAGTTATTGGATCAATTTCAAACCAACACCGGTATTTTGCACATGTTTGCAAATTTATTAAAAAAAAAAATTTAAAAAAAAAAATAGAAAACAATAATAAACAAATACATTCAGAATTTAAAAATGATCCATGAAACGATAATATTTAATCCGTTTAGTAAAACGTCGCCCTATTTCCCCACCCCATCACCCATCTGATTAATTGTGATACTGCATAAGTACCTACTCGCCTTGCAGGTATAATATTATGTTGACGAAGAAAAATATATTTGAAAACGTTAAAAAAAGACGTTATTTGAAGTGTATTTTGAAAGTTTTTAAATTAATATTGTATTAAAAATTGTTGTATTTTAGTACGATATTCGAAAACTATAAGTACGTTTTGTTTGTTTAACGTATTTCATGTATCTAAGTACCTATACCAATACTATCACGACTGTAGGACGATTTAATTTTTTTTTTTATTCTATGGTTGAAATACACTCAATGTCACTATAACACTTCCTCGAGATATGAGAAAAACATTTTTCTAACGGCTATTATAGGAGAGACTAGTTGGCGACAATACATTACAGACAATAGTTGCCAAAACTATTTTCAGTGTTGACCCCCGCATGATCGGGTCTATAAACGATTTGAAAATGCGAACAACAACACTGCAATGTATATAGGTACGCAAATATCACTTTCTTTTCACGAAAATAATTATACTGTGTTTACTGTTGTAAATATTGTAAAACAGATAGTAAAAGTAAAACGCCAATTGTCTATACTTGTTTAACGCCCGTAAATAAATGTTGTAAAAAATCTAGGTTTTACGTAAAGACTTTGTGCTGTCGCAGATGCAAACGCAATGCAAATTTAATTTATAATAGTGTTTATTGAACGATCATTTTGCAGAAAAAGCGATAACCATTTTTCCAGCGATACATTGACAATTTAAAAATTAGAAGTCTTACAGTTGGGAATAAACTGTATATTTTCCGCTTTTATAAGACGTAGGAAAATAAAACAAAAAATAAATAAAACCTCTTAAAAATAATATATATCATTTAAATTTAAAAAAAAAAAAGAAAAACATGCATTTTTTTCAAACTAACCAAGAGATAACGTATGTTATTATTGTCGATTATAAATTATAATTTTATTTAGTCGCGGTCAGATAAAAACAACACTTATGTATTGTTGATGAACCATAATAACCTGTTTGGAACATTAACATTTAAATGATAAACAAGATGCGCAGAACCACCATCAGTAACCGAGTAAAATGTATTAATAATAAACGGCGTAGCATATTCTAAGTGGCCAATTATTATCGGAGTAACAATAATAATATTTGCGTGCAATTTTATCGGGAAGGGAGTTTTCCGTCGGTATAAATAATTCATGTCAAAAAAAAAAACTATTTGAATGAAATTTTAAAACATTTAAACGATACAAATATATTACAAATATTATTTAAACTGAATTAACTAACAATTTGTAAGACCCGAATGGAAAAATAATTTTCGTAATTGTTGTTATGTTGTAAAATACGTTTGCAGTTTATTTATTCAATATCTACAGCAGTTCCCATAGTTACACTGTTAACGCGTTAGTCTCAGTACACTTATAATTGCGCAATAGGGGAAACGTCGCTCTTTTATTGAAATCACTTTCTACATAGTAGCCGAGTATACAGGTGTTGTGCATTGTACGTTTCCGTAAAAACCGATGTTTATGAAATTAAATCTAATATGAAAAAAGAATCTCAAGCAAAATTCGTTTTGAAAAATAATTGTAGCGTAGGGTTATTATTAAACCAGGACAAGACAGAGAGCAGAAACAAACAACATGAACGAACTGACATTCAAAAACGAGCGGACATCAAAAATAAGTAAGAATATCAATGTGGTTTTTATTGATTATAATATGTAAACGATACGTATTAGATTAAACGAGAATCAAATGAACGAAAAAGAACTCGATAAAATGGACACGCCAATACCTGTGATGAGACAAATTGAAAATAGTGAACAAGAGCTTATTAGCTATACGGAAGAAGGGTCGCAATTGGTGACAAACGTACAATTGGCGAACGATAACCGTGAAAACAACCGCAGGTATACCGACAAAATCGAAAGAGATTTAAGATTAAAAGCAGTTGAACACGAAGCTGAAATCGCAAACGCGAAATTCACGGAAATCAGCTGTCAATGGCCTATAATATTAAAAAAAAATGACGCATTGAACATCCATGAGCACATAGAACTACAAAGAAGTATGTTTCACTACAATTCTGTAAAGTACCTGTACACTTTTTTTTGTAATTTTTATTATCTTTTTTAGAAAGAGGACACGATCTCATCGAACAAAAAAACAAAATGATCGAACTATTAAAAAGCGATTTAGCTGAATCGGACTCTAGGTTTCTACAAGAGCAGGCGGCCCAAAGTGAAGACATACGCATTTTACAACAAAGAATTGAAAATCAAGTGAAGTTTATAAGAAAACAATACAAAAATCATATCCAATATATTAAGGTACGCACTTGTTTACAATATTAGGAATTGAATTTATTAAAATTATCAAATTTGATTTAACTAGTCAACTATGGACCAAGAACGAGAACAAAGAATTGATAAATCCAATGAAAACTGGGCGGCCCTTTATAACGAAACAATGTCGATTGAATCCACTTCGTTAGACGATCGTTTGGCTATGATTGAAAAAAAAGAGAATAATATTATGAAACAATACGAAATGAACGAGGAAATCATCAGAAATTTAAAATCGAATGTAAATACAGAGTTGCATGTGAGTCCGTAAAGTTATAATATTATGAAATATATTTATAATACAATATTTATTTCGTAGGATATACAAAGAGAATTCGAGTTGATTAAGATGAAATGCATAGAAAACGTGGAAAAACTGAATTATAATTATCAGGTGTTGAAAAGGCGAGAAGAGGAGAACGCCTATGCAAAAGCTGCTCAGAGGAGAAAAATCAACAAGTATTCGGCGTTCAAATTTTGTTTTTATTTTTACTGTTATGTGACACAGCAGCGTTTTATTAGATTACAGGATATTTTGTCAACCAAGAGGAAGATTTTTAGAGAAACTAAAACAGTTTTTAACGCTAAAGTCCCTTTATTACAAGACGAAATCAATAAACTAAACCAGGATGTTGAGCGGCACGAAAAAAAGGCCCAACGATTTGCGGAAATCCAAGAAAAGACGTACAAAGAGTTATGGGATTTTTCTCAAGAACAAATCGCGAGCCATTTAGAAAGGGTATTTATTTATTTCCAAAATAATATTTTTAATATTTGCAACGCGTGTGTACAATATTGCGTTTGATTTGTATTTTTCGAGATTTTCGAAATTGATCGGATCATACACGAAACACAGTTGGGCGTTGGTTGGCAGCGACCACAAAAACTCAAATATCTAGACATTAGCGATTTGCCCTCTTACAGGAGAAAACCCAGTGTTGCACCGGGTGCAGAAAGTTTGTTTATTTTATACGTTTACATATGTGATTATTCGAATAACAATATTACGTTTTTTTTAAAAAAAAAAAAATATATATATATATAATATATATATATGTATATATCTACAGGTAATCTTTGTGTAGATCTCCGAGTGCAAAACCAACGAAACGCAATGGACTTACAGTACACGGAGACGAGAGAGCGGGCACTGTTGCAATTGGTTTTCGACATGACCATGAAAAACGTTTCGTCGTTCATATTAGATAACGAACTAATTGAAATAATTATAAAAACGCACGGTGAAAAAAGTCTCACGTTGTTTTACAACACAATGGCGGCGTGCGGGTTAAACACCACAGACTCGTGGAAATGTCTGTTATCGTACGTCCAATCGATGGTGACCTGTGCGGATTGCCGTGGACCAGTAATGTGGCATAAACCCGATTTCGATCACCGTGCAAAAGCAGATAGGTTTGAAAATATTTTTTTTCATTTTATCGCCCGGGGGGGAGGGGGCATACGCTTGTTGAAATTAACTTTCGGGTCGTGTAAGTAAACGCGAATATTATTGTTTTTTTTTTTTTTTTATGGATACAGGGAATGGAAAACCGAATTGATCGACGACATACTGACGTTCGGCGAAAACCATACGAAACGTGTCGAACGAATTCTGTCCACGACCGCTAAAGTGTTGGAAAAGTGGGTAAACTCAAAAATTAGCAAAAAGGACATTTATTTTTGAACATTTAATTAAAATAATAAACTTCAAATTATGCAACCTTACTATAAATACTTTTCTTTCTTATTCTGAATTTTTCTTTCTAATAAATTTACTTATCAAAATCGTTTTGTAGGTAGTTTTAATCTATAAGGAAAATATAAGAACCAATTAATATAAAAAATGTAGCCTAAACGTAATTTGCTTCACCGTCCATTCAAATTTAGCTATTAATGTGTACTAATCGAAACTATATAAAAATGCAATTTTTTTTTTTATTTTTTTTATATTACAATAGTAAATATTTCCAAAATATCTAAGAAAAACAAAAAGACACCAAAATATGCACTAAAAGATCAAATATGCAATTAAAATCGTAAAATAAAAGAAAATGGCTAAATGTCAAAATGTGCACAAAAAAAGTTTCATTGTTTAAATCGTTATGTCACGAAACAAATTCCGGGCTCACTCAGCATACCGTACGGTCAACTAGAATAAATACGCGAAACGCATACAAATCCGCGCTCTACTATAGTGGCTAATACGATTATTCGATTTCGATTATTGACCGAGTCCCGATGGTTTCAGGACAGATTCAAACAATTACATAACATTTTTGAAACAAAAGCCGACGCCACTGCTGCAGGATGTCGATAACGTTTTAGACGCTCGCGACTATCAGTCGTTCGAACACGCCAACACGGATTCCGACAACAATTCAACGATCACGTGTAAGTATACCGGTGCACGATCGATTATTTTATTGCGCGATAATATCATTTTCAAAACTATATCGATTTGTAAGGAATTCGACGGTGGAACGTTTAGAACGTTTCGATCTGTATGTATTGTAGTACAACTAACACTTCTTTGCGTAAAGATATTGATTTTTACGCTCATAAAATAATAGTGATTTCGTGTGTCGTAGTTTCCTTGTCGTTAACGGACTTTGAACAATTGTGCAGCGAAAACGACTCCAATCCAGCTATAAAATCCCAGCAATCGCGTGAGTTCGATACGATTCACATTTAATTACACACAACGTACAATAGATTAATATATCGATGATGGTGTTTTGTTAGAAGGCCGCGATACCACTAAAAATCGAAAACTACGTTTTTGGTATCGAAAAAAAATCAGAAAACTTAAGAACATAACCTGATGAAAGGGTGTCATAGGTGTGCGCGCAGGGTGTGCCAAGTGTGCTGTGGCATACCCCGTGGCCCGTGGCTTTTTGTACGACTTTTATTCATTTGGTGACTCTTATTAAATTTTAAACTACAAATAGTAAAAATAAGAAAAAATATTTTTTGATTTTCCTAGCGGTTTTTATAATATCTGGGAAAAACCAGGATAAAATTTCGGAAAAACGGAAAGTGTACGAAATATAGGTATTAGTGAAAAATATTATAGCCTTTATTTTTCTGTGTACAACTTTTCTACCAGCAATTTTACTCAGATTTACAATGATAGCACTTTTTCTTAAAGGAACTCTAACTGAGAGGTACCTTAAAAAGATCATTTTTCGATTTTTCCAGGAGTTTTCCTAACAAATTTGAAACACCTGGGAAAAGCGTAGGAAAAACCGGAAAATCGGTAAAATATTAAACAAGTATTACGAAAGAAAATATATAATGACTATTTAATACCACATTCAATGCATGTATTCTTTGTCTACAAGGTACTATGTGTACGAGTAATTTTATTGTTTTCAGTGATAAACATCACTAAAAACTGTTTTGCTGGGTTTTTTTTGGCTTCCTGACAAAAAGTGAAATTTGATAAACGCCCAATTTTAACAAAACACCGTCATTATATATATTATATGTGTACATAATAAAAACTCGATTTGCAGTTTCTCAGGTAGAACTGGAACATTTTCAAATGGAATCTGAAGAACGTCACGATTTTATAGACGCCGCATCAATGAAGATCAACGAAGAAAGTACTTATATTAAAACAAAATTATCATAATTATTTTTCAGTTAAGGAGATCGATAACAGTATTCCGAATTTTCTCAAATTTTGTAAGATTTCAATAGCCTAGCAGTCTATTGGCCGGATACCAATCTAATGGGAACGGTTAAAGTCGTTTTTACGGACGAACATGACGTATTTCAGACCGAAAAACCAGACAAAACTGTATAGGAATTGAGTTCGACAGATTTCAATTTTATTTATTATTTTTTATGTATTATAATTCTTTAAGGTTTTTACTACGATAAGTTGGAAGTCGTTTTATCTTTATCGTCTTAATCATAAATCAAAGGCGAAATAAACATATTTTTGAAAATTGTTCACGATTTAGTAAAACAGTTAATTTTATATTTACGAAATATCCTAATAAAAATAACATAAAGAAACAAAATCTTTTTTTCAAAATTGAATTCGTCAAACACCATTATACTAATGTTTTGTCTAGCTTTTAGATCTGAATCCAATAAATCTTTATATTATTCCGTTACCAATGTTCTTAAATACGAAAAGTTAATTTTGTTCTTTCAAATTAATTACAGACTATGATTAACTATATACCTATAGTATTAAATAATATGACTGGATATAGTTATAATATTCTCGCGTTAAAAGATATTTTTAAACATTTTGGTTTGTATTTTTTATAAGACTTGGCTGCAGACATACGATCGTGTGACGACCCTAGCCATCCGATAACAATTAACGATATGGATTATCTACGCGTTATAAAAAAATCCATCGATATTTCGAAATCGAAATCATTTGACCAGCGGAACAAAACTGATTCGGAATATTATTTAACAAAAATGTTAAACTTAGAAGACATACGAGATTATTGGAACCAGTTTCTATACGCATTTCCCGAGGATCGTTTGAAAGTGTGGGACATATTCGATAAAGCTATTAAAAAATATTATGAAACGTTACACCGTACGTATATATAATGTACAGTAGTATACTAATATTTTGTTGTCAATCTAATATCATTTCACAGGATTTAACGTTTTGTATTTTTGGATTCTGAGCGCAGCGAGAAGTGTATTGGTTTCTACCAATCCTGTACCAGACATTGCTCCGGTCAAAAAACGACGAGGTTTTTTATTTAGTTGGTGTATTGAAGAAAATCGGTTTTTTAATTTGTAGATTTCTTGATGATTGGGGGCGACCGGAAAAATGGGAAACTTTACGGAGAAAAACAGTTTTATTATATTCGATTTTGTTTTTTTTGGGGGGGGGGAGATTCGATTAATAATAAATGTAGATACCTGAGACATTTTCGCAGAATAATTCTATTGACTTTTTTTTTATTTATTCATAGGAATTTGAAATTTTCGAGTTTTTAAATTTTATTTGATTTTATGTTGATAATATTGGTCGACCAGAAATGTTTGAATATTTAACACGATGTTTATTAATTTAGTTGATTTTTATATAAGCATTTAATTTGACGAATATCATCTTAACGGCATTTTAAAATATGTACGTATAACCGAACTTCGCTCAGAATCTCATTTTGTTAGTAATGATTTCTCGTTACGTACAGGTATAAATTAAATAATTCTATGTACCGTACCTTCTCAATTTTTCACCTACTACAGTGACACACCCATCAGCGGTATCAGCTCTATTGAATTTTTTTATAGTTATTGTTATTATTTCAGTGCGCTTCAAAAAGATTAAAGAAGTCGAAAAACTCGAAACCGAAAATATGGAATTAAAAAACATTTTAAAACAATTTATGGACGCAGAACAGGTAAAAATATAGATAAATACATATCTATAACCTTAAAAATTAGATAAACAATTAATAATAAGCAACTATATAATAATTAAATATTTTTACTAATTGTGTAATTACAGCAGGCTCACAATTATTTTGTACAAGCAACGCAATAATAAACGTGATTTTTTTTTCAGGATGATGCGAGATTACAAACTATTTGTACACCGAAAATTAAAAAACAGCAAAGAAATCCAATAAAGAGAAATTCAAAACCAGTAATATTCACAGACATTTCTACCAACATTTGTGGAACATCAATGCGTATACTAAAACTCGATAGACCCGAGAAGAAGAAAATAAACAGACCATTTACAGCTCCAACGAAGTGAAACATTTATCTAGGCTTTTTTTTATATATATATTTTTACTTGAATCGAGAAATAATGCGTACTTATACCTATATTATTATTCGATACCCTACTCCCTTTAAGTGAAAACTTGTGGGGAGTAGGGAGTACACAGTTAACAACTGAGATTTAATGAAGAAACAAACTTACTGTTTATTATAATTATTTATTAATTGATTTATTAAAAACCAAATTTAAAAATGAATCTAATTGTCGTAATTATTCTAGTTATCATTAACCATCTAATATTTAATATTAATTAAGTAGTTGAATGAATTAATCGCATATTATAAATTTGTTTTAATTCTATATAATTTTCATCTTTAAATAAGTATTGATTAGCATTGAACAAGTATTAGTCGAAAAATTAATTTTAATTACTATTATTACTATTCCATTATTATTAAAAATTTTAAAACATATTTTTTTCCACATAAGCATATTGTACGAGTATTATAATATTATACTAACTATATTTGTTTCAACGTATTTTGTTAAGCTCCACGTGTGGATTTTCATGCGTTAGTCATCTTTTTTCGAGATCGTACTAATTAGAAACGATATACATAACTGCCTAAGCATAATTTGACTTTACATATTTTTACATGTTTGTCTATATAATTTACGAAAATATAATACAATTTTTGCACAATATAGAAAATTGAAAATTTGAATTTTAAATAACATAATATTTGCGAAACTCGCTAATATAAATACTAATTCAGCTGTCCCACATGGCTTTTCCCATACGCAGTATTAAACGAAAACAAATTTAAACAAATAAAAACATGTTTCTCCGTGACTCTTCGTTTTCTCCTCCGTCACAGTTAAGCAAATCAATTCAATTTTCGTATCGAAAATAACAAAATCCCTGTGTCAACTACCCTTTGAAAGTTGAATTTCGGAAATCCGGTTTTGAAACGCATATATTATATGGACCCGTTTATCCGATTCTGTATGCCAATGGCGTAACTGTAAACAGTTTCTTCGAGGGTGATATAATTATTTATTAAAAATATCGAGAAAAAATCATAAATAATTCAATATATACCATACCACACAATTCGGTTAACAATAAACAAACAAATATTGATAGTGTGGCATGTTCCAAACATGATATTTTGCATTTCGAATTAGATGTAACTCGTTATTGCGAAAAAAAAAAATCTGAATTCTGGACGTTTTCGTATGCACCAAAACACACCCGGCATACCCCATAGGTCCGCCTATATGATGATTGCAGCCGATTTAATGGAAAACTTATGACTACTGGGTTGTAATATGAGCATAAGATTGAACTTTTTCAATTCGCATATTGAGAATTTGGGTTTATTTAAGTGAAGAACAAGGTGAACGTTTTCACTAAGACATCAAAGAGATAGAAAGGCGATATCAAGGTCGATGGGATGTTATAATGATGGTCGATTACTGCTAGTGTTTAAAACGTGAAACTGAAAAACAAAATCAAAAAAGAAAACCAAACAAATTTGGTTTCGACGAACCTGCGGAAAAAAAACGGCCAACATATCTGAATAACTTATTTTTTTTAATACTATAAATTTAATTAAGCCTCACAAATGTTTTTAAATAATGGTGTTTAATAATATTGTACAATTTACTTTAATTTAATTTGTAACAGTTAAAAATATCTCAAATATAATAATAAACCTACATTAATCTAATTTAAATCTCAATTGTACAGAAAAACTAGACGCGATAGAGACAAACTAATTGCAGATTTGAATTCAGCGTGTCGACATCTGTAGGAACCGAGTGTTATTATAAAAACAACAAAAAAAAAAATTTATATATATATAATTCCCAGGACTAGGTACGATTGGCCATAACCACTCTTGAATTCTCGTATTATCATTTGAACACCCGCGGGGCAGATGTTTCGAGTATCTCTCGTTTCTAATGTGTAAAACTCCCATCGGGTAAAAAAGAAAGAAAAAAAACAAAACAAAACAAAAAAACAAAATAGAGTCGTACACGGGTGTTGTAACGAGACGTAAAATTTCCAATAAGTATTATTTGCATACGAGCGCTTATAATAGCGCTATAATATACGATGATGCAATTATTCGTAAATTATAATATTATCATACTATACCTACATTACTATAGTATTATATAATATAATATTACCACAATACCTATACACCTTATACGCGGTACACGTTTAAATCAACATCCAACTCTGAACGACTGAATTTCGATTTGAATAAAAATGATTTAACACGAACGTATAGCCCCGTTCGAAGCGCGCGCTTGAAATAACGTAAGACATTATTGCCTTCTTTGGCGTAATGTAGAACATATTACCGTCGTTGAAATTATACATTTGAATACGATATGATATGTTGAACTGCTACTACTACTACTACTACTACTACTACTATAACCACTACACCTATAATTGCACACCTACGTCTGTTTAAAAAAAAAAAATATAAGTAGGTACCATTTAGAAAAAAAAAATATATATATATATATATTAATAATATAAGTATATAGGTGCTGTATGCTAGTTGTTTTTTGAGAGACAGACAAAGACAGAGACAACCGTTTAAAATATTTCGTAACAGTGTACACACGGGTACCTACGGTTAAACGTAATACAACGACCCTAATATTATACGTATTGTAACAATATAGTAATAATAATTGCCACAATATTGTAATGGTACGTATTCAGCAAACTGTAACGGACAATTTTGAACGAACTATTATTATTATTACTATTGTCATTACGTGCGTACAGACACACCGGTCGTCCGAACGGGTATTGTGATATTCGTTAAAACGTTCGTTTTCGCCAACACAAGAAGCGCACGTCGGAAATAAAATGGCCGCCTCTAACCCTGAACCCGCACCAAACTACAAACCACCGCGTCAAGTCTAAAATGATCCGGTTGTATGTGAACTGTGGCACAACCGAAAAACCGTGGGAAAAACCGGTCGAATTAAATGTGCGATGGCACAGGCAACGTGTTCCCGTCGTCGCTTTACGGTGCGCGGTATTTTAAAGCGGGATCGACAATCAAGCGGCCAAGTGGGTATGGGGGGCGACGGAATCGTTTTTCCAAGCCCCGTTCGGTTGTATTCGTTTTGAATACGATTACAGCCGGGAAATACAGGGAATCCGCGCCGGTTTTGGCGTCCACGCGTATGAACCGGCGGGTATGCAAGTTGATTTTTTACGCAGTTGAAAATTTTTAAAAAAATATTTTCAAATCAATAGTTATTCATCGAGCGGAACACGCTCGAATCACGGTCGGCCTATCAAACAATTGGATATTGTCCGTTTCAGACGACCAAAGTAGATAATGTTATTTATACGTTTACGGATTTCCAACACGTAGCTGTATATTCTATCAAATTGTTTTTATCGTGATTATTATTATTTTTAATGAAATTAATTTGAAAAAAAGCGACTTGATCGATTCAAATCAGTTTCAGAACAATTCCTGTATTGGTGGTAGGTCTGCAACATTAACCGAAACGACCGAATCTGGTACACAGACGGCCAAGTATGGAACGACAGAAAAATGTCGCCGGTTTTCTGTCGTTCCGGATTTTGCCGTTTGCGTTAAACGTTTCAGATTCGATCTCGTTCTGATCGGTACCGTTGACGCTGTACGTCCGATTCTTTATCATTTTACCGCGCCCAGTCGGTCTGAATCGGTAGGCCGCGCGGCGTCAGGCCGACGGAAAGCGCGAATTCCGGTGACCGTTCGGTTAACCGTCGGACCTGAGCGTTTCACATTAACCGGAGCAGCGAAAAACTCGCCTAATAAGCGGTGCCTACTCGCATAACTATAAAGTGTTGTCACACGTTTGTTTGTGTTTTTTTTTTATCGTAATTAGAGTGGCGCGCGCGGCCGCGAAAACTTACTAAGCCCCGCGACGTAAATAAAACGTGCGAGTAACGCGCGTACGCTGACTGGCGGCTTTTGCGTGCTGCACTTTCGGCCACGGACGCCTTCCTACGGTACTGTCGAACGCGCTAATTACTTCGGCGTCCAATAGCCCGGCGGTTGTTCCTTTTCGCCGTGAACAGTGCGCGCGTATAAACACAGAATTACCAACGCTTCAGATGTTTCGCCCGCGTTCTTTATCGACAGTAGCGAAAAAAAAAAAAAACTCGCGAATTTCGGCTATGCGCGTATCGTCTACCTACACACACACACACACACACATTATACAGGCGCTAATCCGTAATGTGCGACACAATATCCAGCGCGTTAATAACCGCGGCCCGCCAACGCTTTGTCACGAATTATCGCGGCGACCAATTTGTTATATAAAAAAAAAAAAAAAAAATCCTCCACCGTAACCCGTCGTACGACGGGCGTGCGGTTATGGTAATAATGTACGAGCACGCCGTCGTAATTGCCATTAACATACCGAGCATAAACGATCGTGATGCAATCCGCACCGTTGTCCTCTGTGTCAACTGGTCCGCTCTCACCTCACTGATGTGCGCCGTTAAAACATCGCGATGACACCAATCTATATAGATTTGTGTCATATGGCCATTCATAACAACGCGGGTTAATTTTTATTATAACGGCCAACGTGCAGCAATTATTATTATTATTGTATTACTACCTGTGCACGCGCCTGTAGAAAAAAAAAAAGAAAAAAAGAAACCGCCGCGTTTCATAATCGTTTTACACGTTCACGTGTTTCAATAACAAACCGCGAATTTGCGAACCCGACGTACGTGATAATTGTTATATTATATAGAGTACCGGTAAAGCACGATTCCGTGCGTTTAACCTTTTTTTTTTTTTTCTTCTTCGAGAACACGATTCCGTTCGATTTTGATCAAACAACGGACTGTCAAAATAACCCCGAAAACAACACGATCACGCGCGATATTTTTTCGGGCAATGTTGCCGTTTATTATTTATTATTCGTCAATATAATTTTTTTTATTGTTAATTCGTTTAATTTCCTTATATAATATAACGTAGTAAAAAAAAGTCGATAAACTTGAAAAAGTCAAAGTTTTGAATAGAATACGGCGTATTGTGGCAAACTATAAGTCAGGTACGGATCCGGAGCAAAGCCCTGGAGGGGAACAATTTTTTAACAACACAAATACAATAAAATATAATATAATACATTATGTACATTAATTCATCATACAAAAGTCGGATAAATAATATGTCTGGGTAGGGCTGGATATGTCTAGACCCCCCTGGATCCGTTCCTGCTAATAGTTGTATTCATTATAGCTCTGATCCTTCATCAATTATTATCGACTTGCTGCAATGAACAGATTCGGAACTCACCTACGGGAGTTGGGGGATGGGGCGAACTGGTATTATAATAGACACCGAAAATAAATTTCAAAATGAGGAGCGTCGAAAATGTTTTCAATGTAGGTACCCCCATAACCTCATATTAGTGTACGTTCAAACAATCAAAATAAAATCCGATCCCCCCTCACTCCAGTTACGTCTTTATGTAAGTACCCACTTACTTACACACCTATTATTGTTAAATTCACACTGTTGTGTAAATAACTGTGTTAATTTATTGATACACTTGCGTTTTTATTAACTAATTAAATATTTTCATTCCGTTTAAATTTACTTAAAACTAATATAAAAATATTGTATTTTATTTTACAAAAAAAAAATCTATGGAAATAAGTCTAAAACAGAATGTATGATGAACGCTCCAGAAATATATACGTCCAAAGTTTCTGTCTTCATCTGGTGGATAAGTGAACAGAGGTCAAAGACAATAGTGACAATGAAACTTCTAACAAACTATACATACTGTGTCACAAAAAGCAGGACAAGAAGATCAGGGAGGCTAAGGCGAGGGTCAACCAGCCACTATTTATAGATTTATTTCATCACAACGACTCAACCAGTCGGACTCTCTCGGCCACGACCCAGTGTTTCGAAATCAAAAAAACCCGACCAAAATTAAAATCAAGTCTATAATATTAGTAAAAAAGTTATATTATATGTTTTTGAGGTCTTTAAATTCAAATTTAATATTTGTTTTAGGAATTCCCACTTTGACTAGGTGGATTAAGTGGCGTTGACGGTGATGGTATTAGACTTGATAATATTATAATTGAAATATTTCATTCAGCAATACAATTAGTTAAAACAAAAATAAAATATAACGCCATTAGATTATATGATGATACGATTTCCTGTCGAGAATACAACAACTATAACTACCTAAGTTAACCTTTAGATAGTGTGTACCACTGACTAAGAAAGAGTAGACTGGTACCGAATATCTTTTTGATGAAAACGAAATGTTTCCCCTATTATCGGTACAAGGTAACCAACACCATCAATGAATAATTATAACAATAATTCTAAATGTTTTTTACACAGATTAAGTGAAATAAGTGAAACACAAGATGATACAAATTAAATTGTAAATCTTTATAATTTAATGTTAACTAGTTTAGAAGATTTCTGTTTCTTCACGTTAACTTTATTTTGATCTATGTTAGAAACAAGAGAATACTAGCTGTCACATTCGTATAATATAATATTTTTAAGAACTTCAGTCTCGTGATCTTTACGTGGGAAATCAAAAATACTGTTATTAGTATAAAAAAAATTGTCAACTGTCAGTAAAAAATCATGGGGGGGGAATTGCCCCCCCCCCCTTAGAGACGCATCTGGTTAATCATGGACTAAGAAAGAATTGCATAATAACTAAATATTACCATTTCAAAAGTACCTACACGGTTTTTTCTTAGTTCTTTAGTTAAAACACGCCATCGTTGTCGATACTCATTTTGGGATACCTAGTGTATAGATAGCGCTCGACACCTTATACTTTTGTAAAGGGAAACATTCGGTGATCAATTCAATGATCACACACATTTGTTCACGAAAATATTATGCTCATAGGGTTTTAAAATAAAATGATCTCTACTCCTCCTATCCAAATAAAAATATTAGCCTGCATATATATGCTCAGAAAAAATAAAATAATACCAAGTTTTATTATAACTCAATAGGAATTGAAGAATTTATTTCATATCAGTTATTTACAATATTTAATTAAAAATACCTCAGTGACAATAACTAAAGCTGAACTTTAAAGATTTAAACTAAAGGGGGCAGATAATTTTACCTTAAATAAGATGGGGGCTCCCCCGTGGGATGACATTATATATTAAGCTGCGTTTACCGAAATTATGTAGGCGATTGCTTAACTATGCCCCTTAAAAGTACATACAAATAACTATCTTGTATTGTTTTATACAATTTATTTTGCATCTCTTTGCCCAACCTTCTCTAGTACTTAAAACACAAATGTTTTAGGTTGAAATTTAAGTTAAAACACAAATATTAAAATTTGAAGAGAAAAACATTTTCGAGTTCTGTAACTTAAAAAATTACATAGAAAAATTACAACAATGTTAGATTTTACATTTTTCAAATTTTGTTATTTGTGTTGAGATTAATAACCAATTTCATTCAATCTTAACATCACAATTTATGTTTGAAGTCAGTAATTTTAATATCTATATCTATATATATATTATGCATTAGTAAAATGCAGGAAACATATGTGGTTATGACATCCTAACCAAACATTTTTGATATACTCACATCAAATATACCTTTTTATTTACTTTGTAATAATTACGACTAAAATGCATAAATATATTGAAAGCTATTATTGTAGATTTAGTTGACTTGACTTGGTAAATTTAACTTTAAAAAAGAAAAATTTATGAGAAAGCTTTCAATATTATAAAAATCTAGTTGAAACAGCTAGTCATCAAATTAAATCCAATACACATTTATTCTTATGTAAAAAGGGATTTTAAAATGTATATGAGCAAATGCATATTTATATGTACAACTAGCTTTTAATTTTTAACCAATAATAACGTGTTTATTCCACTTAATTCTTATTTGGTTATTGCAAATGTATTTCTAAATAATATTGCCTACATTTTACTTTTATATGCACAGAGAATCAAGATGTATAATAATATTATAATTACTCATTTGACACCATCCGTGCGTTCAAATAAAATAAATAACTATAAGCATTACCTAGATAAATTAACTGTTCTTTGTAAAATCATTACATAATAACTTCAAATTATCTTGATCAACCATATTTTTCATCATACTTTTATCTATATTTATGATTATTGTTTGATTTAATTATTGTTTTATAAACTTTAATGTTTTCTTCGTAAATCAACTTATCACCACCATAATCTGTGAATATTTAATTTTTCATTTTTATATAATTTTAATCAATTTACATATTAATTAAAAACACCTAAATATACTCATTTAAACATCAAAAAAAAAAGTTTAGTTGCTGCATATCATTAGGATTTCTTTGACAGGTACCAACTTCCATTACAAATAATAGAATTTAAAGGGTTTTTTTTGCAAACAACATAAATAGTAATCACATGTAATTTAATTCAAACTAAGTAATCTATGGAATTTTGATGTGTGCCATAAAATATGTAACCATTAATTATTACTTTATTACTTGATAAGTATTTGTTAATTTAATAATTAATTAAAGGATTAAAAAAGTTAAATTAAACAAATATAACACTTTTTTTTTCAAATGTCCTTATATTAGAAAATAACCAAATGTCAGAAATTACAAATCGTTAACTTCTCTCAAACGTCTGATTGCGGATCTTACTGTAGTTGCAGCTGTTGTGGAAAAAACATATGCTCCACCAGCAACGGTTCGCCTGCAACGTTTGCAAGACCAGATTCCTACACAAGCCCTCTTCATGGATTCCTAAAAATAAGTTTACAAAAAAATTAAGTATTTATAATATGAATTTCTTAAAAATAAACAGTAGGTTATAATTAGAACTCATAAGTTCATACTTTTTCTTACCAGATAGGAAAACATACTAAGATACAAATCCATTTCAATACAATAGACTTTTTGGAATTAATAGCCCATATATTTTATATATATTGACAAAATTATTATTAATTCTTATTTATTTTCCTGAACATGATTTAAAAATCGAAAATATTATTTATTACAATTTATTTTTATTTCTATAAGCTTGTATGGATTTAATACGTTTTACGGCAATACCTAGCACAAAATCAATATTGTGGCTACCACTAACTGCACAGATATTGCTATCAATCCTATAAAATTTATTTTCATTTTAACAAACTTGTATACGAGTGCAATGCTTCCCACCCTATCGTAATCTAAATCATTATGTGAAGAAGGATAAGGGGGGGTTCAAAAAAAGGCCAAATTAGTAATAATATGAGAAGACTGTGAAATAATTATATAAAAAGTGAAATAATTATAATTTATACAAATTAAAATCAATAAAATAAAACTAAAATTAATTTTTCAGTAACCTGAATTTGTTTAAGAAAAAGATTTTTATTTCTCATATTTTTAGAAATGTAAAGCATATATCTAATTGAATATTTCCGAACTTTAAAAGCATATTTTGCCAGTTTTTAGTACATAAACAATATTTATTGTAAAAAAAGTTTTTGAAAAGCATACCTAACATAAATTTAAATTTTAAATATTAGATGTTGCCCTAAAGGTGTAGCTTATGGCGGGTATAGCTGTTCGGTAACAAAATTAATTACAATTTTATCTCAAAGAAAAATAGTAAGAGGTAGAAAATAAAAAAAGAGAAAACAATAAAAAATAATAAACAAAGCATATTTTAAATATATACATTTAAAATAAATATCGGAATAAAATTTACAGACCAATTTGATCATTTTAACACATTTAAATATTTTTTTAAAATGATACTTGCTGTAGAATAATAACAAATTGATATTAAGTTCTAAACATAGAGAAATACTGACATTAACAACAGATTTCTTACCAAATTCTTTATGTGTTATTGGCATATTCAGATCAACTCTTTGTTTATGGTGTGTATAATAAGTATGAGGTGGTGAATAATTTTTTTAAGTTTAAGTCATAAATGTAGCTTAGTACATTCAATAAATATAATCCATTTACATTTTTTTTACATTGAGACTTTTGTAAGGATCAACAACATAGAAATCATAAGATTTACAAAGAACAAATCTCAAAAGATAGTTTAATGTGATAATAAGTGGATTTAGGGTTAGATTAGATGCATTTGTATACAAATATATACTTATTGCTTATATGTGTGTTATTTAGTGCATGAAATTATGAGCTCTACCTACGAGATAACCAGAGTAGATAAATAAACATTAAAATATATGGTTAATAAAATTGAATCTGTTTTTGCAGAAAACTAAAAACACTAAACTAAACTTACGAGTCTTGTTAGAAAACAAAAAAATAATATAGGTAAATATTAATTTGACAAAATATTTATAATAGTAATGAGGAAAAAACACCTCTGACCAAATAAATATGAATACCTAATCATTGTAAATCATTAGAAATAAACCCTTGAAAGATAAGATTAAAAATACTTTAAAAATGCTGATCACTATTTCCATAAAGGTATAAAATATTATATATTTTCATGGAAACACAGCTACCAATATGAATGTGGTAATTTACTTTAGTCAACAAATTTTAAAATATTTGCCAAACACAAAAAGTGACAAATTATAGAGATTTTTGATCAAAAAATTTTAACATTGTCAGTGTATTAAATTAATAATAAAATGGTCTTACTTTGCCGCAGAAAGAGCAGGTATATTTACTGTGCTGGGTGATTTCAATTTTTTTGACCATCTTACGTAGGGAGGCACCATATCGGGTACCATATTTACCTACGATTCCTACCTTCTTGGTGCGTTTGGCCTAAAAAAAATAAAATAAACAATTAATAAAATTAATAAAAATTAATTAGAATGACGGCGAAGAAGAATTAACAATCATAAACATTAAATTTACGAATGTTTTGATTACTCAATAATAAATACAAGCCGACCAAGTATAAAATCCTAAGGTATTACGGACATAACATACATAGAATTATACGATATTGTAAGAAATTGTACTTTTCATTACGAGATTAATTAGATAAATTAGGATAAAACTCACCATTTTGACGGGATAGAAGACGTCCTATTACGTTAACAAATAAATAAAACTCAAACAAGACCGACGGGCCAAAAGGCAAGAAGTAATGGGATTGTTGGAAAGGAAAATAAAATGATAATAAATTGTTTAAGGTTAGTATATTAACAGTGATGCCATTAAACTAATAATAATTTTATATACATTTCCTTTATTTTGAATATTACAATAAAATATAAGTATATTTAAGTATATTTTTTTTCATCTCTAATAAATAAATAAATTTATTTATTAAACTTTTTGTGTAACCATAAAATTAAAGTTTAACGACAATTACGATTTTGTTGATAATACTTATTTGGTTTCGTTGAGAATCATTGATAATTCATAATTTTGATTATCACTTACGCTCTTATCGTTTATAGATTATTTGTTAGTAGATATAAACTTTTGATAGTTATTAACATTTTAAAATAAAAACAAAACTATAAAAAAACTGTTGGAAATGTACCTGAATCTGATATTCTGATCTTGCCTGCTCAGTGCTCAGTTCTTCTATCTTAGTTTACCTGTGAATTATAGTTTTTATTTATATATGTAACATGATAATTTAAGTATCAGTATATCTGAAATGGTCATTAATTATCTTTAAAAAAAATACCCTACAATGACCATGTTAATTTGTGTAAACGATTTGTAAAAGATCAACAATAATATTGATGAATTCAATTAAAATGTTTGAACTTGAAGATTTTGATTTAGACGATGAAGTAGGTTACTTATTTTGTCATTATTTTAATGTGTTTATTATTTAAGATTTAATTTTTAAATCTTTTATTATAATATATACCTATTCATTATTATTTATATATTCACTTATTATTATTAATATTGTTTTTAGGTATTTCTAAACACTCAGATACCAGCAGTCATAAATAAGTCTCCAATAAAATCATCAAATAATACCGATTGTGATACTTTCAATTTTATAGAAGACAATGTATTACATTATCTCTTCTTTATACATTTTTATTTAAATTTAATAAATTATAATATGTACTTTTATTTATTTGTTAGCTATTCCTCAATATATCAAATCCCAATGATGAATTGGAATCTTTACATTCTCAGAATATTGAATCTAATCATGTTTCTCAGAAAGAACAAAATAAAAACGAATCCGATTTGCAGAGTAATGTATGTTTAGTTTCTTTTTTTTTTTTAATATCAATATTAAAAGTACAATTAATTCTAACACTCCAATATAATCAATTTATCAACATTAATATAATAATATTACACTATTAAAAATTGAAAATAGAAATTATTAATAGTAAATTATTACATGTGTTTTTCTCATTGTTCTTTTATTTATTTTCAAGATACACACTGTGCTTATAACAGAACATGTATCAGAAATAACAAAACCAGTCAATAAATGTGTGAACAAAAACCTTAAATTGACATTTGATGATGAATTTGATTCTGACGATGAAGTAATATTTTGTAATATTATACATTTTTTTAAATATTTGTGTTGTAGTTTTTATTTTTATTTTATTTCTATTTATTATTTCAGGCATTTTTCAACACACCCGAAATTTTACATGAACCTATAAATTCTCTAAAAACAAATGACTCTTCTAATAAAAGATTCAATGAGAGCAAAGATTATAATGAGGTATACTTTATTTTTATGTTCTATAATTCAAGTAAATATTAGCATTAAAAACACAACCTAATTCACATTTAATATTTAAATGGAATTACTGTTTAATATAGTTTTGTCCTAATATTAAAATTTGTATTCAAAATTAATAACTGTTGTCTGTTTTTAATTTTAGAATATTTCAAATTCTGTAACTCACAAGTCAATATTAAAATCTCCTAATATTAAAAGTAATTTTAAAGATCATATTTGTTATCTTATTAAATACTTTTTTAACCACTGAACATCAGAATCAAATAGGTATATAATATACTTTTTTGTATATTTTGCCAGATTTGAATAAATCAAGTTTTAATAATCATCTCAATACAACAGTTACTAGTGTAAAAACGACACCGAAACATTCTTCTAGAAAATTTCCAGGCCCTGCTGGACTACTTTCAGAAGATGTAATAATTTTAGTAGTATTTGGCTTTACCAATTAAATATCTTTAAATAATTCAGTTATTTGATTAATTTGCCTATATCTTTTATTTTTAGGAGAATATACATTCAGAAGATCCTGCAGACTTAGAATCTTTAGATATGTCAATTAGTATTTTTGAAAGTGACAAAAAAGAAGAAGTAATTAATTTAATTGTTTCAATAATTTCAAATCTGTTTCAAAAACAATTTAATAGTTTAAATATAAAACTATTTACTAAAAGGATTTATTATGCATGTATCCACTTGTGCTGTCTCCATCATACAACCGTGCGACAGCAAATTTTAGTTTTAATATTAGTGTAAATTGACCTAATATCAAACTTAAAGTTAAAAATATTGTCTGTGTCATGTTGTTATTTCTAAGTGGGATATGAATATGTAAAATATCATAATTTAATAATGCTTGTATCTCATTTCATAATAATATATTGAAGAAAATAATGATGATGTGACATAGATTATATTCTTATCTTTAAGTTTGATACTACATCAATTCACTTTAGTATTACAACTAACAGCACAAAATTATCCCTGCTGAACTAAGCATTGCTGTCACACGGTTGTATAACATATACAGCAAATGCGAGTATAGCATCATATTAAATGTATTATTCATTTACCATAATTATTAGTTCTAATTTGTATATACATAATTAATTCTAACTTATATTATTGTATTCTACTTAGAATTTGTGCACTCAAGCAAATGATTCATCATTCTCATCATTGCCATATCAACAGTTCCTATCAGACTTTGTCAGTACCGATGTTGATATGTTATTAAATCAATTTAACGTGGCATCCCTAAAGCAAAAAATACTTCCATTTATTGCTTCTGGTCGATTTTTCACAGATAAAATACCATTTTTTGTTTCTGTCATAAAAGAAATAAATTGTTTATCTCCTGATCCAACAGTAGTACTAGCTGATAAAACAGGGCATGTTAGAGGAACGATTCATAGAGCAGTTTGGAACCAATTTAGCTGTCAGCTAAAATTAGGTGCTGTTCTAGTGTTATCAAAAGTTGGTGTATCGTGTCAAAAAATAGTAAAAGGTTTTACGATGAATATAACTAGTGATCACTTAGTCGCCATTTACAGTTTTGCTTCTGGTTAGATTATTTTTATTCCCAATATGTTTATTTGTATTCATTTATAATAATTTTAATGTAATTGAATATGTGGTTTTATAGAAGATACGGGAGAAGTGATTGTCACCCGAACAACAGATCTGACGAATAAAGAAATTGTCAATGATGCTAAAAGATGGAATATATCAAATAATTTGGTATCTACGAGAATAACTGCGCATGATGAAATAAGAAGTCGAATGATTGCGCTCAATAATTTAAAATTACATACAATTTCTTTGAATCAGAATTCTCAACCATCAAATTTAGATTATCAAACGACTAAAAATGTTCCTCTACAAACCACACCTGTTAAAAATATTTTTGTACCCAAAGCTCCCGTAGCACATAATTTAATAAAAAACTATTCCTGTAATAAGTTGTTCGAAGAACCACCAGCTAAACGGATAAGAAATGATGAGTATGAATTCAAAAATATAGACAATTATTCACATAATGAAAGGTCTATAATTGAAAATATATTTGAAGGCATTGATGAAGAAGAAATGTTCAATGATTTTTGTTGTTAATTTTTGTTGTTCACTTGTTAACCGTATGCTTTTAGTTGTACAATGTTATTTTAGTTCAAAGATGTATTTTTAATTTCTCTTGATAGTAGATTGTCCAAGTTTAATTATTTGTAACAAAATCAAATTATTTTTAATAATTGTGTATTAAGAATGCTATAGCTAGTAAGCTATACTAATGCTATACTATTTGTTGTACTAAATTTGTGTTGTTTCTGTTCCTTATTTTTAATAATATAGAATATTATGATCAATGTGATTCAAATATAATTTTAACTCTCAAGTTCAGTTTATATAACACATTTGTTTAAGTAATAGGTATTAACAAATTGCCATATTATAAGTTATAATCTTCTTGCTAAGGAAAAATGTTGATTGCATATAAATGAACTACATAGTAACTATTATTTTTTATTAATATGTAAAATTAATATACTATTATGTAATACCTGATCGACTTAATGCATTTTATATAACTATCATATTGTATTTCATAGATCTCTTTAAAAACAAAATTTAATGCACAGTCTCTTAATTTGTTTATTTTAAAAATATGATGTTAATACTTAGTATACAATAAATATTTCTACTTTATCTAATCAGTCTTTCTAATATATAACCTACATAATGTTAGTTTATGTAATCTAGACGAATAATTAATTGTTTCATCAATTATTTTCTATTAAAAATACATATAATGAAATCTCTATATAACAGTCACTTGGGCAAAAAAAAATTTGTATTTTAAAGAAATGGATTAAATAAAATTGTATGTATTTTTTTATTTAATTAATCGTATATATTCTTAAAAAAATTACATATACACATTATTTACATATACAATGTACAATCATATATTGGTACTAGTTTGTTATCATTTCGCTAGGGTATTGTAATAAATTAACCACACTGTCATAGCAAAATAATAACATTAATTTTATTATGTATGTATACAAGGTGATCCATTTAAATGGGTAGTTTCGATATCTGAAAGTATTTACACTTTTCACATTTTTTAAAAATTTAAGAAACAAGCTGCTCTAAGATGTATCATTAACATTATTTTATGGCCGTAAAATTACTACCTAATTTTAATTTCAAAAGACAACCAATATTTAAAATTCCATAAGTAGATTAGTATTAATTAAAATAAATTTTAGTGCTAAAATATTTGATTTCTGTCAATCAGCTAACGAAATATTCCACTTTTAAGTTTGGGTAGGGAAGAGCATCATTTGTTGGCAGCACGACACACAACATTCTTATAATACACCACTACTCTTCCCAAGCATTATATACGCTCTCTACCCATTTATCATAATATATTTAAGATTACATGTTAGAATATTATATATGTCTACAAATATCTATTTTTCAAACACTTGTATTAATTGAAATTTCAAATTTATTTCTAATTGATAAATATATTTTATATTTTGACAATTATCAAGATACCGACTTCCTATATCTACTATCTTTCTACAGTCTATTGTCTATATGGTTTTATCGCATAAACAATTTTATTTTTTAAACAAGATTTGATAGTGACTAATCATTTATTCATTACATAAAAATATTAGATAAATTTACTCCTCTCATTAATCATAATTATTAATTAAAAATGAAGGTAATTATGTACCAAACAAAATTTGGTAAACAGAAAATTTCAATAAATTTTCGTTACACTGTATTTAGTTAATAATAAATTATTCTGATTACCTAACACAGATGTATTCAAATATAAAATGAAAAAAATAAAAAACAAATCTTAAATAATTTGATTGTCATAAATAATTAAATATGCCTAAATTTAAAAAAAATATATGTATATCAAATGTCCGAGTTACAATTGAAAGGAGGTAATAAGTACTTCTGACAGGTGTACCATGATATTTATTGCTAACAAAAAACTATTTTGAGTAAAATTTGGTTGAACATATTTTAAAATGTTGCAATATTTATGATTTTTAACAAAATTTTAATGTAAAACACTAATATTGCTTATAAAAAACGACAATATTACATTCAACTTTTTTTTACCAATTTTACAACAATTTTAAAGCATCTATGCTTGGCCAAAGCCATTTCATTTAAATAAAAAACTAAAAAAATATAGACAAATGTAATTGTTTATAAGAAGCTAATATAAATATTCTGTAAAAGTTTGAAGTCTATGATTATTTTTAACCGAATAACATAATAAATTTAAAAATCAAAATGTTCAAGTTTTTTTAAATTATTAAAGAAACTACAAATAAAATTATAAAATAACCTCCTAAATTCACAAACTATACAAAGTTTAATTATATAAGATATGCTATATTTAATGATGAGACCAAAATTTCTGGTACAAAAGTTGTCAACACAAAAAGTAAAACTAATAAATTCCTGACTGTACTCAGAATTTAAAACCTGGAAATAAATGTACAGTAAACTGCATATTATATTTATCTATACACATGTACAAATAAATAGGTTCTAGATAAAATATGACCATGACTTAAAACATGTTATAAATTATTTATTTGGTTTGTGTTAACATAATTATGTTTATATAATTAGGTACATTTATCGATTTTACAAAAATATTAATAGTTTATATCAAAACTATATTTTAGAAAATTACATTGTTTACACAAATAGATGTTTTAATATAAAAAAAAAATATATATATATATATATATATAACAAAATATTAAATTTTACATAAAAATAAAATATTGATCTAACATTAATTATCTGACCCTCCTTGTATTTCCAGTAAATTAAAACAGTATAAATAAACTGAACTATTTTTCTGGCAGAAAAATAGTAATTTTTAACGAAATACTTTGAAAGAAACTTGGAACAGAATCATATGGGTAAGGTCAGTCTTTTAATATTAGGTCAATTTTTCATAAAAACAATCCCGAAAATATTTGATATTGTAATTGAATACAACATAATATTATGTACTTAAATTTACAAATACAGTAGAAGGCAGATTATCTGTCATTTAACCCGACTTTGTCTGATTTATCCAGACTATCACATAGAACAAGTTGACAATAAAGCAGACTAAAATTTAATCTTTTTCATGACTTTGAAATATTAAACCATGTCAGTTTTGTACTTAGTTACTTTTTTATAAAAACATTTATATATTATATTTTTACAGGTATTTTGTTCTTTTTTTAGCAATTACTATTCTTAAAATATAATATTAATAAAAATATATACAATATAAATTTATAATAAACATAATAAATATATAACTCTTGTTGTGTTTAATTTGTATAGTTTGGATAATCAGCATTCTACTGTATAATAATATACATAACATTATCAAAATATCAAATTCAATTCTACGATATAACATTTAAAAATCAACATTTTTTTATCACAATAAGAGCAGTAATAATAATCAACAATACATATTAAGGCAGTAAGATTTGTTTTATCTTGTAATTTTTATATAAAAAGAGAAAATTATTGTAATTATACAAAAATGTTTAATTTGAATATAAAGAACAGAATTTCAATACAAATTTAAGATATAAACTTCGATGGAAAGGTTCATAAAATTTGAAATTAGTTAATCATCTATTTTACTTTTATATTCCAAAGAGTCTGTACCTATATTTTGTACTAGACTAAGACACAGATAGCATATTATTGCTCGATATATTAAATCGCTTATTTCTGATTATGAAATATTTTTGACACATGACGATTCATTTAAGTCTGATCATACAATAATAATATTAAACCCAAATACTTGTACATTTCATCGCACTCAAAAAATTTACTCAAGACTGTTTGGAATAGTGATTCTTAACCTTTTTATTCTACGTCCCCTTAGTAGATTTTTTAAAAACCGCACGCCCCTATCTACAAATTTAAAAAAATGAATAACTTTTTTTTTGTATTCTTTATAAATTAATTTACTCAATATCCATAAAGACCATTTTTTTTTATTGATGATAATAATTATAAATTAATAATAATGTTATAACCAATTAATATAAATATGAAGTTGACAATACTTTTTTTTGGACAATTTTTTTTATATTTAGCTTGATATTGGAGACAGCCCCTCATATCTGATTTGATATCCAAGCAATTTTTATGTTTTATTTAAATAACAATGTATTTATATACGGGGTGGCGGCACGAAAATTTTTAAAATTACGATTATTATTTTTGTTTTAGTGCTACGCTTTAACTGGTCATTATTTTTTTTTTTCAATTTTTCCTCTTTTATATAAAATGTACATGGTAAATGTAAATACTCACACCTCCCCTGCAATGTGTTTACACCTTTCCTTCCCCAGATTGAGAAACACTGGTTTAGAACTTAACATGTTGACTGTATACCAATGCTGGTTACGGTTATGGAGTCATAAGGATTGTTCAACAACTCATTTAACGTCATTTGCCATCCAATATACATATAATATAAAAAATTTGGTATTCCATGTGCGTGGCTAAATGATATTTGATTATTAATTAGCATGATTAAAAAGTTCTGTACGCACTGGAGTGAAAACTTGCAAATACGTGTGCAGTCAACGTGTTAAAGATTATCCTGATCCAACCAAATATGTAATTAAAAAATCATGTCATATTACATATATGTACTACAAAAAATAATTTATGAATACTTAGTTCCACCATAAAGCAATGTGATTAAGTTTAAAAATAATACTCCATTAGCATTATTTAATGAAATCTCTAACAAATTATTAGAACCAGATTTGAACAAGACAAGACTATATTATTCAATATGTTTATCTATATAAATGAAAATAAATAAATAAAATAAAAATTACAAGATAAATTAAAATGTGAGTTTACCTATATTCTTTATAAACTCAAATCTGATATTGTGGTAACTTATTGGCAATTTTTCTTCGAAGAATACATGAATGTGTCAGTGTAGTAATTAAAAATACTAAAATCACCTCCCAAAGTGTGTCAGTGAAATACAATAACCAATCGAAACCTAATAACACTAAGAACAATGTCCATCCTTTTTTCGACCGATACATTTGTTTGTGTGTGAGAACATATATTTGAGCTAATCGGAAAAAAATACTACAAAAATGAAGCCAACCAGTATCCAACGAATTATCTTCCTAAAACAGTAAAGAACAATAATTACTATTATCTTAATTCATTCTTAAATTTATTTGGTTTTATCCTGGTCATATTTACAAAAGTCAATACATAAATATAATATGAGCACATTAACAATACACTAAAAAGTTTGACATAAATAATTCATACCTCAGTTGTTAAACTCCTCAATGTATCCATAACCATGAGAACACTATTTAATATTAAACAAAAAGTAAATACTATTGATGCTTTATCTATGAAAGATAAAGGTTCTAATGTAGGCAATGGTCCAACTGAAAAAAATTAAATACATTGTCATTTATTTTTAACAAAATATTATTAATTATTATTAGAGCAACATAATATTATCTTAATTGTAAAAAATCAAGACATACTTTACGCTGCCTATTGAGTATAGTGTTTCAATAATGTACAAGCTTATAATAAATTGTTTACAAATAAAAATTGAAGATAAAACATTTCATTTGGAAACAATTTTAAAATTGTTTAAAATACTATTTTTCTTTCTTTTAAATTACTTTTAAATTTCTTATATAATTACTGGGAAAAAGACATGTTGAATATTTGTTCATTTGTAAAACAGAATTTTAAATTTAACTGCTTCCTATCTCTGCTCAAAACCTAAAATATATTAATGATAATTGTATACAACCAATACAATGAAATATAAAATTAATCAGAGAAAAGTTCAAATGAAAACACTTCTAATTATTGTTTTAATGTTTAATGAAACAATAGAACCATTCATTTTACAATGATTAGTTTGAAAAAAAAAATATTATTTATATTGCAGTACCATCAAAAATCATGAATTTATAAGATCTTTTCTTTGAATTAATTATTAAAATTGTTCACTTAAATACACTGAAAATTATGAAAAAATTTTAGTTACAAATATTTATGTTTAAACTATGAGTGTAATGATTGCAATAATCGCCATATTTAAAATATTATTACATAATCTACAGACTTGAATCTCTGTGGGCTACATTAGACAATAATCTACTCAAAGTATGTTAGGCTTTTGTTTTTAACCATATCCATATTATTTTCTATAAAAAAATTAGATTTAATGTTCATAGTATTAAACATAAAACATTACCTCTAACAGTTGGCGGAATGACCTGTGGCGTACAAATGTTATTACTAGAATTGGTTTCAACGATAAACACTTCTTGAGGTGGATCTAACGAAATATCACGAGTGATTTCAGCCAAATTAATTCTGGAAGTCAGCTGTTGTGGTTTATTATAGGTTTGCTGAATAGGATGTATTGTAGCATCTAAATAATACAAATTTTAAATTAATTTTAAATATATAGAATTATATAAATATAAATACCAAATTCAATAAGATTGTATGGCCTTAATGCTTGTTCAACTTTATAACGATCATATTTTTTTGTAAACTCTCCAGCTAGTTCTTCTAAAAAGCTGTAAGCTAATACTTGAGGGTATGAAGGAATGCACATTCCCATGCAAATTATATTTAGACATGGTAAAAAGCTAAAATAAATGTTGAATAGTTATTTATTTGATCACATAATAATTACTTTTTATTATTTAAATTGTAACTATCAATTAGAATGTATATAGGAAAATATATTATTTTTAAATTGAAAGTAAATATAGAAAGATATGTAATTAAATGTAACACCCAAGGCCTCTTCTAAGCAAGGTATAAAAAAGTTACCAACACTTCCAAAACATTATTTGAAAAAAAAAAATATTATTCTACTGTTTCTAATATAGACACAATTGGTCCATTTGTTTAGTCGCTAAACCGATAGAAATGTTTGAATTACTCCAACTTTTACAATCACAAAAGTTTCAACTCCACACTGCTATGGAAAATACCTACAAATAACTGGAAAAATTAATCAAATAACAATGCCCAACATACGAATTTGATTGAAATATCGTTAAGTACCGTAAATAATAAGCATTGAAATTTTGAACTGATAATATACATACTAGTAGATCTTCTCGTTGGTTCGTAGAAAACATTTATTTTTCGGCGTATTGGGTCTTTTCAGCACATTTTTTACGATTTTGTTAATCAGTTTTAAGTCAATGGCACTTTCGCCATTACTGCATTGATAATTAGTAGTGGAAGTCAGTGGTAAGAGATCCCGACTTCTTAAAATTAAAGCATATACAATCATATCCTCACGATTATGCACGGTCGACTTTAAGAAAAAAGCAAATTCATTATTATTTAAATTATTTAATTTATGAGATTATCAAGTATTGGGGCTGGGAGGCGTCTGTTGACTAGTAACTATACCTATGTAAAAAAAAAAGGGCTAATACAACTAAAAATCAGAAGGTAATCCTTAATAATTAATAATAAAATTATTGTTTTCGTGGCTATTATCAGTGTTCGTTATCAGCTCGTTATCATTACTAATTTCACCGACTCAGTGCCACAAACGACACAAACTAAAAAAGCAACTCGTTCTTTAAACGTAAAAATATAATACGTTGCTTAAAATATAGTAAAATATCATAAAGTAATTGCCATCTGAAGCCGTTTTATAGAAAAATCATAAATTCCAAACGAGGCAGATAAAATGTCAGTGGCCGACGTGCAGCGGTTTCGAGTATTTCGAATGAATTATTTTGTCACGTTTGTCTGCGCCATGGTTAAGACATTGTACTGTGTTTAGAATTTCAGAGCGCCTTGAACGTAGACAAATGAATAATTTAACATGACTATGTAATGAATGAAACATTTTAATTATTACCTATACAAACATACTAAATCAATGCAAATATTATCATCGTCTATAGTTTTATCATAGTTATTTACCTACGTCGCTGATGATTCGTGAAATCGTGACAGCGACCGATCATTATTATTTATCACTCGTATAATATTTCGTAGTTTTATAGCTGCTATATTTTTAACTGTGTTAAATGTCAATCTTCAAATTCAAAATAGACGCTTATTATTAGGCACCCGGGTACCTACTGATTACACAATGTAATACCGTGTATTTTTATTTAAATACCTAATTTTATTGAATGCCGATTCCTTAATTTACATTAAAAACAACTAATAAGCACGTTTTATAACAATGTGAATAGTATAAAACTTTTAAATTTATCTACACATTTTTAAATATTTTACCAACAAACAGGTACACGCAGTGACGTTTTAACACTAAGGGCACGCGGGGCACGAGCCAGGGCCCCGAAAAAAATAATTTTCGTCTTTACGTTACAACGTATTGACGAGACTATTCAACTATACATGCAATAAACACGTTGACCGATGTACAGCCAGCAGCGGCTGTCGGTTGCACAGTTATTATTAACTGTTGTTGGCAGTTAATTAACAACTAATAGTTGATTAAAACAGATAAATATTGATTTTTAAGTGATGTACCTAATAAATAATGATAAGAACGATTATGATAATAATAATACAATTATAATTGAAAAAATTTTTTATATCTTGTAACTACGAGTTGACTTTTTTTGATTTTCGTTGTTAATATTTATTTTTTAAAACCTGAAAAAAAAAACACTATATTGTTCATAAAAGTCTATGTACGTATCAAATATCCATTTGTGATTAAAAAGATATTATTTTCTCATGAGTCATTAAACAAAAATTAATGCTAGTTTTTTTATTCACGTTATTTTTTGGCTCTTAAAAGGGCCCCCAAACTCTGTGTGCCCAAGGGCCCCTGCATATTTTAAGACTGCCCTGGGTACATGTATCGTATATTTTGTATAATGTATGTACTATATGTACTGTAAAATATCGTCAGTAACCGTAATTATGTTGGAAATTCCATCTGCATCGTAATAAATAAGATGAGGCCTACCTAACTTAGGAGTTTTGATGTCGGTGCATAGTCCAATATGTACAGCAAGTTTTTTCGTTCGTTTCTTTAATTGAATTTGCGTTTGTTAAATTAAGTATTATTTTGTACTCGTATATGTACGCCAATGTAAAGGTTAACCCTAACCGTCTTCGCCATACATTTAAATTTGAAAATTAACGTTGTATCCAAAAAAGCAACATTGAAGAAGAATAAACTAAATTGAAAAATAATCCCCAATAATAACCCTATCTCTACATTACTTTTGTTATATGATTACAAATTACTAATTCACATTAAATACAATTTTTTTGACGAATGTTTCATGTTTTTCAATAAATAATTACAAAAATAACCACACAAATAGGTATTTACATATTATTTTCACTTTTTTATTGCATACAAATCCACGTCCTAGTCATAATAAAATACGATAAAAAGTTAATAAGTAGATAATGGTTTTGTATTGAATTTCATCTTAAAATGCCAAGAAAAAGACAATAATTATTAGAAATTTATAAATCATTAACGAAAAAAAAAAGGGGGGAAAAATCAATAGTATACGGCCCAGCTCATTTTACCCGTGATTATACTATACATTTATAGTATTTGACTATTCTACAGTGCTCACTTGAGAAGTCGGGGCCAAAGTCGCACGTATTTAAGTATGTAATTTAATTTTTTGTCATGTCACTGTAGTAGGGTTCGTTTTTTTTTCTTTTCCAATACGGCCACTACATAAAGGTATAATAGATATGTTATGCTATATAGTAACATCCGTTTCTGACACGATTATCTTAAGGTCGAGTTTTTATTATTTGTAGCTTGTCCTGCTCTCTGGATGGTTTTCTGTTATTCCTTTTCAGATTGTTTGCCTTTAGTCGTTTGAAGTATTGTTTACCAGTAATTTTTTCCTATGCGATCAAAGCAATAATTGTTTCTTTTTTATTGTATTTTTTGTATGTCTGCCAAACCTACTATTCAAAGAATAAAGATAAAACCTGGAAATTGTCATTATGTAAATTCACAAGAGCTTCTATGGCTTAAGATTTTAATTATTATTTGCAACACGAAATAAAACACTTAATTATTATTCAATTAAGTAACTCAATTATTTTTTTTTATCTATAATCGTAAACGAAACTATACTAATTAGTTTTATTCTGAAATATCTATAAAATAATATCAATGCGTATAAATTGCCTATACAGACGTTTACAGGATGATATTTTTATATCAATTGTTATCAATTATTATTGTGCTGAATTTAAATACCTAAAATCATAATTTTTTTTTTTTTTTTTTTAGTTTACTATTTACCTATGCGCTTTTGATTATAATAAGTATTAAAAAAAATCCAAAAAATCAGTTGTATTTTAACGATTTGATGACTAAAATCTGAAATATTCTAATTGCCACTGTAGCATTTAATATTATTAGCAACCTAGTAGATTGTAAAGATACTTACTGAAAATAAACTCAAAAATCACTATAAAGACTATGTAAACATAATGATGTTTTTTGGTCAACATGTACGGATAGGTGGATTCGTCAGTTCAATTGAACTTGCTTCTTAGTAATTTTGTGTTCGCCATCGCCATGCCCCTGCACAAGACCTAAACGTCAATAATATTCTGTTGACCGCTGTACGAGTTACAGAAGTGGCTGGCGGTTGCACAGTTATTATTAACTGTTGTTAATAGTTAATTAAAAATTAATAATTGATTAAAATTGATAAAAAATTAATTTTAGATAATTTACCTAATAAATAATGATAAGTATGATGATAATAATAATAATAATGTAACAATTAAAAAGAGTTTTTAAATCTTATTACTACGAGTTGACCTTTTCTTATTTTTGTTATTAATATTTATTATTTAAAACCTAAAAAAAAAAAACCACTATATCTTTCATAAAAATCAATGTACGTACATATGTATCTATTTAAGATTAAAAAGATACAATTTTCTTATAAGTCATTAAATAAAAATTAATATTGATTTTTTTATTCACGTTATTTTTTGGCTTCTAAAAGGGCCCTCAAACTCTGTGTGCTCAAGGGTTCCTGCATATTTTAAGACGGCCCTGACCAGTCTGACCAGTAGAAGTAGTAGACCATACCTGCAGTAGTTTGGACTGGATACAGAATAATAATTTATAGGTATTTTTCAATGCTTAGCTACCATAAAACTAATTCATACAAGTCTGAAATGAAAATTAAATAAAAAACATTTTTAAACATTTAAGGACAACTTTTAAGGGTAAAACGGATAACAGCAGTGATAGTGTCAGAGATCGAAACAGGGAATTCAGAGGGGAAAAGTTATTATTACATATTTGTTTGGTACAGGCAACGATGGGTGGAGCAACTAGTATATTATATTATGTATAATATTGTATAATCTTATAAAAAATATGTACATTTGAGTGTATGAAAAATCACCGTACCTACCTAATATTCATTTCACGTACGGTTCATCAAGTTATAGATATGACAAAGGTAGCCAGATATGATTTATTAACACCTTGATTCCATATTTGATAACCAGTTATTGAAAACGCCTTAAACGGTTTCATTAAAGAGTAATTATTTCATCGGAATTGTAGTTTGTAAATGGGCAGTCGGCGATAAGCAGGCGCGTTTATTAGACCCCATATTTTTTATTATTTTTTTTAACATAAATAAAACAACAATAATTCATTTTAAATAAGAATAAAAACTAGTAATTAGTATTATCCGATCGCATAGAAAGAGCTGCTTTAGAGTATCCTTCGGATTGCCATTTACAACATTCTTTTACTCCTTTTCCTGGCTTACGCAAGCAGCCAAGACGAATAGTGAATGTCAATATTGTCATAATATATTAATGAAACATTGCTTCTCTTGAAAGTTGTATGACTATATTATTATTATTACTTAGATAATTATTATATTGTTTTTACCGCCGTACAAAAAGAAAATGATTTGACATTACAAAATAGAGTATTGACATAATAATTAATAAGTAATAAATAAATACAATTTTATCGTGAAGTAGTATAGACATAATATATCATAACAATAATATATTATATTATAGTATACGTATCTATATGGCTATATATACGTGTCTCCATGGTATAACAATTAATTTCGAGCTTTATTCGTTTTGTGTTTTATTTAACAGAAAATTGGATTTCAGTGTTCTTACCGAAAACAATAAAAAGTGAATGTCCTAAGTACTGATCGTGTATTGAGTTTTGCTAGGTTGACACTATTTATTACAAAATTACACCGTAGACAAAGCCAGTTCTCGTCGGTCAAACGCATCAAACGGTGTAAAGGAAAACATTCAATGGTGAAGATATTGTTGTGAGATACGCTAGAGGCTATGAAATTTCTCAGTTGACGAGGCACCCAAAAGTTAATATTTTGAACAGACTTTTTAATTCGCATAAAAGTATACTATTTATAATATTATAATTAATTTTTTTTTTTAATTGAAGATTTATTGAAAAAATAATAATTAGTTACAATAATTAATGATAAATTCGTGAATCAGTAATTACATAAATAAATAATAAAAATGAAATAAAAACTAATTACAATATATTAAATCAAAAACTTATTGTCTGATTAAAGAAGAAATAATTGATTTGATGATGGAAATTAATTGTGAGGAAAATATTGATTGAGCAGCATTAAAACAGATATTGTATGAATTTATTAGAGCAGAAATATAATTACATTTGGTGATAATAAAAGACCAATAAAAAATAATTTGGGATATTTTCAAATAGATTCATTGGAGTGGAGATTGCATAAGGGTGAGACGTTTAAAGAAAGATTGTGTAAAGTGGGATTATCAATCACGGATTGTATTTGTAATAATCATAATTATTATTATAAAACTATTAAAAAAAACCACCTATAAGCGACAGAGTTTCGCCACTAGGGTAAAATTTTTCCTCAGTCAACCTGTGGCAGTTAAATTATAATTTATACTGATACTATGATACTTTGACTATAGTTTGGTTGTCTGTTTAAAATCCTGTATTATCCTGTAAAAACATGAAATGTGCACATCCTTGATACTTAAACCATATTAAATTTGCATCCTCAGCCTTCATTAGGGGGGTCTATAGGGGTGTATAAAGTTAAAAAACATCCTTATCCCCCAACATTTTAGTAAAATTCACCTTTGAATTCATATTGATTCTCAACCAACATTTTATCATTTTAACATTTGACTCCATTCTAATACACGAATTTGAGCTCATTTGACCATGCAGACTCTAAGGGGGAGCCACTAAAAGTGTTTAAAAGAAACACGAAAAAGAAAAAAATAACAATGTTACATCCCAGAGGTGAATTTGTCCAATTCATTGCATGGGCAATTTACTTACGATTTATACTGTAAGTAAAGATAAATCGTTGTAAACAAAAAAAACGATTCTGAATCAAGTCCGATTAAATAAGTTTTGAAAAATAGAGTGATTAGGGTATTTACTTCCATATCCGTGTTTAGAAGATGATAAATTGATAAATGAAAACCCTTTCCTGATCCTTCTGTTTAAACTTTAACCTATTGTAACTCATAAACGGTAAGTTTTATATTTATGTTAAGTATATCATTTTTTTTTTTTTTTAGAAAATTATTCTCCGTTTTAATCTGTATTTAAAAGAGGGGGTTGTTAGATGCAAATAAAAGTGTATATTCATTAAAGGTATAGAGATAAGTGAGGGTAAAAATTGAAAATAATATTTTAATAAATCTTAAACGCTTTTATAATAATTAAAAAATTAAAAAAAAAAAACAGAAATCAAATTCACTTAAAAACCTCCGAGAAAATCGCTGGTCCATGATAAATGAATCACTCTGTATAAATAAACAATAAACCAGACACGTATTTACATTTGTTGGCCCCTCACATCCCGCTCCCACTTTAATCCCTGTAAGTGAATGTATTTTCTAAAATAATAATTATTGTAATGCATGTAATAATATTATACACAACTTCCAAATTGTCGAGGGAATTCATAACACAGAGAAGCGCATTGTCGTCAACATAAAATACTGCACATCTGGTCACCATACACATACACACACACATACGCATTAACAGCTATTATAATACAATAAATATGTACAACCATAATAATATACATATTATAGTTATAAGTTATACATATTTATTAATATTATGTTCTGTTTGTATACCGAGTGGTTTTTTTTTTTTTCTGAATTCCGTCGGTGTCGTCTTTTTAAATTCTTTCTATCTCGCTCCCTCACTCTCACAGTGCCCGGCCATTTTAATTTTTAGTTTTATGGGTATTATAATAGATACCTACCTTGAAACGCGTGCCCGATCGCGAGATTATAATCCACACACAACGACACCCGATACACGCGAGTATTGTTGTACGCAGATGTTATTATGGACAGGTATAATAATGTACTATGGCCGAGAAAAGTGTTTGGCGATCCAAAAAAAAATGTTGCGCCCGTGCAGTCGGTGTAAAGTCGGTGTCCCGGGCCGGTCGGGCGGACAACTTTGCAGGAGAGTTTCAAAATAACCGCACGCCGCTAAAACGGCGCGAACTTTAACCGACGACCGCCGCCGCGGCCGACGGCATACGATCAGATTCAGACGGCTGGGGTACCTAGTAACACGCGATGTACGCCCGCATGACAATACTGGAAAAAAAAAACGTGCACGGCATAGGTGCCCGGCGGCGTTAGAAGAGTACTACGCTCGCACTAATACTCGCTCACAGCGGCACTATTTACACGTTATTCCGTGCAATCGCGGAACGCCTCGTTTGTCAATAAATCGGAATTTCACATTTTCTATTTATGTTAAAAAACGGACGGGGCCCATACATGCGGTGCAACGTACAATAACACTCGCGGTTACGTTACAGGTACGCGCGTCGGTATTACGTTGTGGACGCGGTGCGGTGCTGCGAATAAGTTGGCCGCGTTCCCACAGAAGGCCGTCACGACATTATTGCGTCCAGTAAATCCTGCCGGCGGCGGCATTTGCTACCGTGGGAGTCAGGACTATGAAAATCGTGTCCGCATCGCGTCCGTAGTATAATACCCTATAATAAAACACAACATTATACTATACACGCGCGCGTAATACACGCGGGGGCCGCCGGGTTCGACGATGCTGCGCTGCTGTAGTTATTATCGTTTATTATGTCGTTGCGCGCTCTGTGTACCGGAGTCGCGCACTTGCGTTGACGCTGACCGTTCGCGTCGAGCACCCGTAAGGGGGCGCCGCGTGCGTGCACAGCGCACGGTCGCGGATACCAAGACGGACGTCGCGAATTCGAAACAGGCAATGCAATACGGGTACGACGTTATAACGTTATAGCGTATTACTCGTGTGCACACGCGCGCGTTGCGTATTAGAATATTGACGTCCGAAACAAAACGGATTTCGCGTACCGCACATCGCATTCCGCGTGAAACACGACGGGGGAACCGATTGAACGAACCTACGAACGCCCGCGGCTAATCTCCCGAACGCACGAGACGAAACGTTTAAATATTACGCAATCGCATTATTATTATTTCGGAATCGGCACTCATAGCGTCATGGCTGTCCCGCGCGCTTCTATTCTATGTTCCTCCCCATTCGACTACGGTACAACCAGGATTTATTTCCCCGGGGAGGGGAGGCGGGGAGTCGTGAATTTCAAACAAATTCCCGGGACGGGTTTTCGGGATAATCGGTTAATTCAATTGGCAAAGTGCACGGCTTACATGGAAATGCGTCTGAAATTATAACACGAACTATGCAACTATAATATTACGTAGAATTCGTAAAAAATCTCGAATTTGTTTTGTTCGTGAGGGTGGTTATAAAGTATAACCCCCAACAGCTCCTTGGTTGCACCATTATATCCATCTATATACTCCTCTAGGTCTTTCCCAGTTATTTCGAAAATCCATTGGAAAATCAAAAATGACCGTGCACCATGCACCAACTAGGCGAAAAATACTTTCAGAAAAGGTAATATGCTCCTATACAGTGGAGAAAGATTTCTTTACGAAAAGTCATTGACAGACGGAAAAAAAAATTTATAAAGTCACGCTCCCAATTTAAAATAAATGTTATACAGAATAGGTAGCTATATTTACATCGATTTGAAAACACGATATTATCACGGTAATCGATTAATAACGATTTTCAAAACAATTCACGCGTGTTAGCCATGTAACGTGTGTGCATACGGCCAATGAGATTCGGTTGCGACATAATATTATTACCTACGCGAAGTTCGTTTTTGAATTATCAACACGAGGCTCTGCGTGTGATACCTGTACACCTAAATATCGTTTTCCAATCGGTAGAAAAAAACAATAATTAATATATTAATTTATCCGCTACGAATGTGTGCGCAATATAAACAATTCAAATAATCGATAAAACTAATCGCGCGCGGTGAATGTTAATGTGCCTGATAATATAATATTTGATTATTTGTGATGTGGTGCGTTTTACACAAATGGGCACTCTGCAACGGCGAACGGAAATTTATGTTACGATATAAACGACAGTATACTAATACACTATATTATATTATATTATAGTGTATAATAATAAAACAAAAATCGGTTTTAAAATATTTGAACGCCGATTGTTTATTACGGACCGATTATACAATTACGTGTTTGTATACTAATTGAAATGTAGTGGGTAGGTAACTATAGGTTATAGGTATTGAATTCATACACGGCAGGTACGAAAAGAGAGAATCAATATCAATAAAAATACAATAGAAGTATATGGATATTATACAGTATCGCTGTAAAGCCATTTTACATAATAAAGAAACGCGTAGTATATTATTAGTGTAATGAAACGACTGCGAACGTATTATTTATTCAACGGACACGACAAAAACCATAAAATATTTAATCGATCGAAAAATGTCATAATATACACTAGGTATTGCACATTATATTTCGATTGAGGTGATAGACACGAAAATAAAACTGTACAAAGCCAGTCAGTCGATTGCGAGTGTTTGGTACACATCGACACGTATAGAAAGTAGGGCGGGCGGGATTGCGGGAAGCCGGGAAGGTAGGATATTATATGTGTATGTGTGTATATGACAGGGTAATTTAGTTTATACATCTTTGGTCTCGGAGTAAAAAGGGTTTAAATAAATTGTGTAAAAGTCTTCAATACGAATTACATTTTGAAAACACTTACATTTGTATACCTAAACGAATACACTATACACAATATGCAAACATTAATTCTGAAAACGCATACACTCATGGAATTTAGACCGAAAATGAGAAGGAAAAGGAGAAAAATTCACATTAGATTACATTATACAGAATACGGACATACTTTGCACGATGGGTGGGCCACTGTTGTAGGTGAGAAGTTGTGAAGGTGGGATACAAGGGGAAATTTAATTTATATTTTTACGCAACGATAAACCATTTCTAACGATAAACGATTCGGAGCGAAGTTCCTTTTATACGTGTACATTTTCCCGGTTCTCCTATATTTTTTCCCAATTATTATGAAAACCGATTGGAAAATCAAAAAAATGACCTCCTTTGAGTACCACCCAGACAAAATTCTATGTATAAATTATAATCTATCAGAAAATATACTACACTTGAAAATATGAGTAAGATTTCTTGTAGAATAGTTGTTCAGAGTTAAAAAAAAAAGTAATAATAATAAACATCTATGTAAAAACAATACATTACTCGCTACGCTCCGAATCTGAAAAAAAAAATGACAAAAATTTACTCAAGTCGTTATTCCCAAAGGTTTAATTGATCGAAAAATGTCATAATTTAGTATTGAATATAATTCGATTGAGACGATAGGCAAAATTAAAAAATTCCTTTTTTTAATCAAAAACAAAACATAATGAATATTGTGTCATGTTTTGAGTAGTTTTAGTAGCCCGAAACATATTTAATTTACATGAAACTAAATGAAAACTGGATAAAATAATTGAATGTTATATTTTTATGAAAATTAAACGTTGAGTTTATATACAATGAAAACTGAATAAGCTACAAATTTAATTACGATAGTTAGGAATAAAAATATAAGTTTGAAAAAATAAACTTTTAGATTCTGAGCGCAGCGAGGTTATTTCCCAGGGGTTTTCATAATGAACGGGAAAACCCCCCAAAAAAAGTGGGAAAACTGGAAAATTTACAAGGTATATTATTTTCAAAACGTAAGTATTACGGCCGTTTCAAAACACGTACAACAGAATTCCGCTCGGAACCGGCTTAACCCCAATTGCGCGCCGGCGGATAAATACCCGTACGGTATTACGACATAATGTTACGGTTTTATACACGTGGATCGCGATGCGCAAAGGGCCGTGTACCGGTCGATAAAACATTTCGCCGGTGTGTACCGTTCGCGTCGTATAGTAGTGAATAAAATTATAAAACGTATTATTAATAACGTACGAAAAGTCTGTGCGGTCCGCGCGCTTCGGAATTTCACGGGTGGACTTCGCGCGGGCACGTGATACGGCTGTTTGGTACGATCGTCAGGTGCGCGGCGCGCGTACACGGTCACGAAGTAGAAACCGGCGGCGGCGGCGGCGGCGGCGGCGGCGGCTTGTGCGGAGGTGCCGGCCGGCCGGCTGGCTGGCGTCTGTCCGTACGTGTCTAGGACGCTCGGCGCGCGCCCGACAATACGGTGGCGACGATGGCGGTGACGATAACAATAATAGAATTCATAATATTACGCGCGCGTAGCGCGTGTTCGCGGAGTAAACAAAATACCTGATATACGAAATATTAATAAAGAATATGCCTACCGATAATAATTGCGCCGCAGCTGAAACGCGCCCGGGCGGTCGGTCGCGTGTCGATACGGTGGCTACGAGCCGCGGGCCCGTGACGTTCGGGGGCCCCGAACCGGGGCCCGGGGCGTTATTTTTCGGCGGACGGCAGGCGCATCCCTGAGCGGGGAAGGGGGGCGATGGAGGCGATTGACCCCCCCCCCCCCCCCCCCTCCTCCTCCTCCCGAGAGAAGTAGACTAACATTGACGAAAAAAAAAAAAAAAAAACGGGAAATTTACGAAAATAATGCTTTTTATTATTTGCAACTGTTGTGTTATTTGTTGTGATTTTCTTACGAGCCGGTTTAAAGTCTCTAAATGTAATTCCGAAAGAATTACTAATAATCTATTCGAATTATTCGCATGAATTTCGATCGCATAAATGTTACGGCACGTCAATACGAATTATTTGATACCGATATCGCCATTTTAGAAGAAAAGTGACTTTTCTGGTTTTTTCCCTGTACCCTTCATATAATTATACAATTATTACAATTATTACAATTATAAATTAAGTCCAGCAAGACAAAAAATTAAAAAATATAACATTACATAAAGACCTATTTCGCACCTTACTATAGTTGTGGGTAGAAAGTTTG